TTGACGATTCAAATGATCGCTCATAAACCGATTTAGCAATAGGCATAGACGAAAATTTCGACTTTTTGATAGATTTTCGATTTGACTTTGAGCTTATATTAAAACAATTAACCAGCAAATACATGATGTCTGGTTAGTCTCCATTGACAGCATTTGTGAATATTGACATAATCATGTTCTTTACTTTGTTCATACTGAATAATTGCCTTTGTCAAACAAACGTGCTATCATGTATTTTTTCACATATTCAAGAGAACACATGATCTATCAAGGTTTGTCTGAGGAAATTTTTTTAACATTCACAGAAATTAACACTAATGAAATGAAAAATTTATTCCTAAGCAGTGTTCATCTTAAGATATGACTATTTTTATTTAGAAATCTCGAATGATACAGTGAAAATGGATTGCTTTTCTTTCTCAATACTTGATCAAACCATCTCTAGCATTTTTCATAATTATTTGATATAAAAATATATGTGATGAAATTCTCAACTAGAATATAAAATAATGTTTTCTTTTTAAATACTAACTTAAAATCTCGAATAGAAAAATGTTAAAACACTTCAACATATCTAACATTCTATAGTGCTTAGTTTCTCAAAATTTTTTGTTTCTTCTCGAATAGAATTCGGCATAAAAAAAAACAGTAAGTGACACTTTTTTACAAGATTTATTTTAGTCTTTGTCATGACATTGATTCAGTTTTCTTTCATTCATTAAATGACACTTTTTAAACAAGGTGAAAATCGTTAACAATTGGGCTTCTTTTTTTTTCCTCTGATTTCATTCGAAAGAAAGATCACATTAACGGTTCTGATAATTGTATTTAGTACGCCATTTATTTGTCTTCAAAAATTCGAAAAAAAAATAACATTAAACGATTATTATCTAATCTATGATAGTAAAACAGAGGAGGCTAATGTTTTTTTTTTCTAGAAAGTTGGGTATTTTTTCGCGGCTTAATGTTCTTTTGTTCAATATTTTATATTGACGTTTGAAATCAAACATTCGTGTATAGTTTTGTAGAGAATTCTCTGGCATATATTTTAGTAAAAGAAATCAGAAGAAAGTATCGACAAGGGTTGATCAACTATTGAAAATACAAAATGATCCATTGTCACTTAGTTATTCAATGAATTCTTTCTCATTTCTTCTTGATTGGACCGAGAACTGTCGCTATGTTCAAAACATCATTCTTGTCTTAAGCTCGAACCAAAAATGCTTTGAGTACACAAAAATAAACATGAAAACAAATTCGAAATAGAACAAATGGTTATTTTTCTCTCATGAATACTCATTGGAAGTAAACAATCACTACACGATAGACGGTTATACTGAAGCAATTTGTCCAAAAAAAAGATTAATCAACTGAATTTTATTTCAAACCATTAAAGATATATCAATGTCATAATTTCAACATGAAAAAAACAAGATACTGTACCTAAGAATGTTTTGTTTTTCATTTTTATTAAAAATTTAAATGAACATGAAATTAAAAAAATATAAGCTAGAAACCATGTTAATGAATACATTAGTCAAGCAAAATCATTGTCCCTTTCCTACTGGAACAACTGATATAAAGATTTGATATATATATATATATATACAATTGATGACTAAAAGCAATTCATATTATTAAAAATATCAGTCATATATTCCAATTCGAAGTATCTAGATAGCTAGAAGTCAAAATGCGTTAAAAATTTCTTGCTCCACGCATGTTTGATGTCTCATATCGTTCTTCAACGACATCTTTCTTCAAAAAGGCAATGGGCCCTCGCGTTTTCTTCCGTTTTGTTAGTTTTACTAGTAGAAATGGTAATCCTTAAGGAACAGAGTTAGGTACCAATTTTATCTATCAATTTAAATTAAAAATTATTAGTATATTCAACTAAAAAAAAACAAAGAAAATTTCGTATACAATATTTTTTACAAATAAAAAATATTTTTGAGTGTATTCATTGAAACAAGAAATTTCTACGTATGTTTGTAGCGAGCGACATTATTTTGATGTCAATAGTATTGTATTTGTTGTGTCGACTTCTTCTTTCATAGCTTTCTCTATTCCAATGAGCACGTTCTTGTGAATCATTCAGCGTTTTTTTTCTCTTTTCCTTTTCTTTTATACGTCAAGATTTTTTGCTTTGAATACATCAACAGAGAAAAGAGATTGAATAAAAACAGCAAATTTCTACGTCATTTAATAGGATGAATCCAAACGAATATCCACAACCATCGGCTCCACCTCCACCATCATACTATGAATCTGTCAATGAAAATAGACAGCTGGATTCTGATCTACATTCAACTCGAAATGATTCTGAATCACGCGATAATTATATGACTAATTTCAATAAGTTTGTTAACCGTTATGAAAGTGAGCGTTGTTTATCGGATTATATATTTATTATACAAGCATAATAATGTTTTAGTCAGTAGAGCTTTTGCTGAACGATTACATAGTCTTCGAGGTTATGAAATCGTCTTTATATGTGACGATTCAGGTTCAATGACTGCACCCATTGGTAAGTAATAATCGTATTATCAAATTTTTATTATTCAGCTAATCATTGTTTAACAATCTAGGCGAAATGAATGATCCATTTGGGAATCAAATGACACGTTGTAAGATATTTTGCATAGTAGAACAAAGACGATTTAATATCAATTTTATTATCGTTTTCAGGGGATGAATTAAAGCGAACAGTATCCATAGTAGTTGATTTAGCTAGTGTTTTTGATCCTGATGGTATTGATGTTTATTTTCTCAATCGTGAACCAATATTTCATGTACGCGATTCATCTGAATTAGATAATCTTTTTGCTGTTGCACCAGAAGGTAATTAAAATATGTGATATGATTTTGTTTTTTATGCTAATTTTTAATTGTTTTTAAATCATTTTTATGTGCCACACCAATTGTACCTGTTCTTCGACAAGTACTTCATGACAAGCGTAATCATATTTATGAGCGCAAATTACTTATTCTCATAGCCACTGATGGTATACCAACGGATGAACGAGAACGTCCCGATATTCATACACTTGAACATGTTCTCAAAAATGAACGTAAACCTACAAATCAGATTCCAGTAACAATTATCATTTGTACAGGTATAATAGAAATGTCAAAACATTTTCTAGACATGTTTACTATTATTAATAGTTAGATTTCGTTTATTTCAAAAATAATAGATTATTTTATATCGTATCTTTTATATTAGATGATAATCAATCTATGAAGTATTTACATGATTGGGATAAAATGATGCCAAATCTTGATGTTGTTGCTGATTATCGAAATGAAAAGAAAGAAATTCAAATGTGTCGTGGTAAAGATTTTCCATTTAGTTTCGGTGATGTAAGTTATAGTGATTCGTCATTCTCATCTTTTTCGACCTTCCTTTGTTTCTAGTATATTGTAAAAATTTTGATGGGCGGCATAGATACGTGGCTTGATAATTGCAATGAAAAGAAATGACAATATATGATTAGCAACGTTCTCATGCAATGATATACCACTGTTCTACTAAGGCCTATTTGACATATTCACATAATTAAAATATTGTCTACTATTAATCTGACTTCTTTTTTTTTTCTTATAATTTTCTGCTGTGTTTCATATGAAATCATTTGTCCACAAATCAGATGCACTTTGTTAGATCCATCACATATGACCAGAATACAAACATATTATGTTAAGCTTAAATGAGACTTGATTTATCAATGTAAAAGAAAATTTTATTCCTCTGTTAGCAGTGCAAGTCTGCTGATGATCAAGTTTCTTGGTTGGGCCTATTAAATGCGAAAAATTTTGTAGAAATGTTGATGGGTATCTGTGTGGTGTGGATGTGGGTGGGTCTTGGTGTGTTTCGTGTAGGCACTATAGTTGCACAGTTGCAGCACATGAGCGCTTAAGAATGTAAGCCTATTTCCTATGTGTTTATTAGAAAAGTCAAGAAACAAAACCTTGTAAGTTACTATTTTTCATATAACGGATACGACTTACCGAAATTCTGGATGTTTATCAAATAAAATGCAATCTTTTAATAATAGCGTTCTTTTATAAAGTGTGACGCAAGAGTATTACGTAATCTTAGGTTTAAATGATTGTGTCAGGCAACTACCAATTAATTTTCAGTTTTTCTTTACTTCACTACGGATGCACCAAGATTTTGTTCGAATCATATGAAAGTCGATGCTGTATAACCCGCTGATCGGTCAAAATATCACTGTTTGCTGTTCTTACCATAGAAGAAAAACGCTGCTGGAGAGTAATTCGTTGACAGCCGTTTTGTATCGATCAATCAGGACCGAAGAAGTCGTTTTTTTTCAGTACTTTCAGAACAAAAATTATTGCTGTTCGAGGCATATGAAAGAGGACCCTCAATAACCTATTGATAGACCCCAAGAATACTATGTTGTGTTCCTGAAACCAAAAGAAAAAACGCTACAAAAATCTGATTGGTTAATAGACAGAAGTTACAAATTAATCAGGCTTCTGCAGGGCATGTTTCCTCTATTGTAAGGACAAAACATGGTGTTAGCTGGATCTACTATGGAATTATGCAGTTTCATCTTTCATATGAGCCGAACAACACTTTGGTGCAGTCATACTGGAGTATACAAACATGTGAGATCTAATAATATTTGCTTAACTCAGTTACTACAGGTAAGTTTGAGTGACACCACCACTTGGAAAACCTTTAATCAAGTCTCATAGAAAATCGTTATTCGTAGAAAGTTGTCATTCGTTTGATTGTCTCACAAAATTAGCGAAGTCCGAGTGTGGGTGTGGGATGTGTTGGTTTGTTTCGTGCAAGTGCAGCTATTGGCGTAGATATTCTTTCCACCAATTCTCACATCTACGTATCCGCATTCACAATTGTACTTCTGAATAGAACGGATAGGCAGACAGACACAGAGAACGGATAATGTTGTCGATTGGAGCAGACAGATAGAATATGTTCAGCTATTTTACTTGGGAGTATAATAGGATTGGCTTGCGTGAGAGTCGCGTTTATGAGCCGATCCAATGTAGCTTGTTTTATATTTTTTGTACCTCAGGGATTAGGCTGAAAGTTCCTGTAAATATTTATCCTTGGATAAAGCTATCAAGTTGTTGATGACTATCAGCTAATAACAGTGAGGTACTTTCAACTAATCCATCGTGATAGAAACTTTACTTTTATCTTTTCTTGTTTTGATTCAATCCTATTTGAGAGAAAGTACAACTAATCTTGTATTTGTGAATTGTCTACGTCATTTCAAAGCATATATATTTGGAGGAGCAGTACCGAGCTACACAATTAAACGGCTTCATATCTGCGTCTTGTACTATCATGTAAGTTGTAGTAATACTAAAACGTTACTGGATTATTTGCTTTGATAGATCAATGATGAAGACATTCTTCCTCGCTACTTCTTTCTTGATGTTCGTTTTGATGGTATCAGCTGGTCCAGCAGTTATCTCTCATGCTAGCAGATACTCTATCACGGACAAGCCACGAGACAACGAGGGCTGTGATGCCGTTATACCTAGCTGTGGTCCGAAAGGCCGCTGTTGTGATTATCATGATCAATGTTATGCAGACCATGGCTGTAAGGCTAACAGTTGGTTACCTTTCTTTGGTATAGCTGAATGTGACCGATGCAATCATGAAGTGGTGCATTGTTTTTCAGATGAGATCAACTACGGACCCAGTGAATGCTGTAGTACTAATACATGTGGCAACCCACGTCCCTAGAGAATGCACTATCTGCTTCAAAATTTTCAAAAATTTGATGTCAATAAAGTAGAGGCAATAACTACTGAAATGATGTCCTGATGTGAAGTATCATACAGACGATAGTTGTCATAGGCAACAAATAGTAGGGAGAGAAATGAACAAAGCACTAGGCAACAATGTGCATCACAAGCTACAATACACTGAAGCTGGACGCTTTCAAAAAGAAAACTTTCGAATAATCTGTACCATGAGCTTTAACACAAGCATTAAATAGGAAGGTGATACTTGGATTTGGATGTAAGAGTGGGGATTAGTGTGAGATGTATGTATTTGGATGCTTTTTTTACGCGAATTCACACTCACATTCTTGAACACGTAAAATATCGTGTTCGAACTTCGACATCATTAGATATGCAATAACACTTGACAAATCTACTAATAGCTATAAGTCATGAAGTGTCCGTTCGACATCACACTGACTATTTCGTGACATATATCAGGCTGTATGGCTAGTGTATAGTTAATCAATGAATGTATTAAAAACTCAAATGTTTGAGTTTTAAAGAACTAAATCACACAGATCTTCCGAACAAAATTAAAATTAGCTTTATGAGAGACGATCTTGAAGTGTGATTATACATTTTTAGTCTGCTTTATACCAGTATATAGAGCTCGATCAACTGATCACTATGGTATAAAGTGTTCTTGCTCATCGTGTGTCATTTGAGGAGTTAGGTAGATCTCAATTACAGAGAAATGTTTCAGTAATTCGAATTACTATGTTAGTTTAGTGCTTAACATTCAAAATTGTAACAATGTATGTGCCTTAATTATCTGTATACATCCAAACAATCAATATTAGTAGAAATCCTAAGAATGCTTATACTTCAAATATTTCGAAACGATTTGTACTCTCTATCAACAGATTTCAACTAGTTTTTTGAAAATTTATCCGGTTCCAAGTATATGCTCATCTATTTAACATTATAAACAAAAAATAAATGTTGATTCTATTTCATTTGCCTCATCTACTGTATTTATTCAAAAAGACATGAAAGAAAAGAATAAAATACAGTATGGACTATTGAAAAGCAAAATATTTGACAAGACTTTAGTTATTAATTCTTTAACATAATATTTCCGGAAAATCTTGATCATTTTTGAAAAACTAAATGACGTTATTATATTTATAATATGAATAGTATTAAAATATTCAATGTATTAATATAGTTAGGACTTCTCTTAAATGATGAATGTGTCGATATATGCACAGTCATCTAAGGTACATTTCATCGTTCAAGTTTTCAATGCTGAGAACTAAACTAACATCAGAATTAAAGTTTCCAAAAAATCCACTTACATTTATTTTTCTGTAGTAGAGATTGAATTAACTCCTCAAAGGATAGTCTATGGTGATGAATTCTGTAATACCTAGCATAACATCGATTAGAAATAGACACTCACACTTGGTTATCTTCTGTCGTTAATATTAGAAAAGATATCGAACTTACGAAACTATTTTATGCTAGTATTCTGTACTAATCATGTAGTTGAAAGGCATATTATATTTTTCTTCTTCTTGAAAAAAAAAAAAAAGAACAAAGAAGCTGAATAAATATGAATTTGATTTGCAATTTTTATAATTTTAATTTTAATGAAGCACCCAAAAAAGGAAAACAAACAACTACCAACATTGTGTTAAAATACACAATATGTGTATGGAATGTAAAACGAAAAAAAAATACAATGATAAATATGACTAGTGTAAAACTTCATTCTTTTAAATAATCAATGAAGATTTTCAGCACTGGCCAATCGAGCACTTAATGTCGATGGATATTGTTGTTTAAAAGAAGAATTATTTTGTTGATCGATTGAATTTGTTGTTGTTGTTAATGGTCTATTCATTTGTTGTTGTTGTAATGGAACATTATTTAAAACAGATAATGATGATGCACGTTTCATTGGACCATTATTATAACTATCTTGTTGTGGGTGTTGTTGCTGTTCTTGTTGTTGATATTGTGAAGAATTAAATGATTGATTATTCCAACCAGTTGATGATGTTCCACGAAGTTTTTGTACAAGTTTTTCTGAACCACGTCTAATACTTTGTCGTAATTTTTGAAATGAACCACTACGACGTAATCGTCCATATTCTTGTGGAGGTGGTTGTTGTTGAGTACGTCGCATTGTTCCTTGATTAACATCATCATAGATACGTAATTGTCGTAAAATATGTAAAGCACGATTAATAGCATCTGGATCTTGAGTTGATTTTGTTGCACATGATTCAATATAATCAGCTTGTTCATAGAAACCTTGTCGACGACACAATGCTCCTAAATAAAAGTGAAAGAAAAAAAAATAATAAATCATACGTTGTCGTTTTTTTTCAGAAAACAAAAGAATAAAAATGTATACCAAGATTTTTTAATGTTGTCGTTACTGTTGAACCATCTCGAATTGAAATCGATGTTGTATTTACATTATTTGATGAATTTTGACATTGTTCATTCGATAAAACTTCTTGATATAATTCAGCTGCTAATTTATATTTTCCTTCACGTAAATATGCTGATGCAAGATTATTTTTTGTTTTTGCAACATTTGGATCATTTTTACCATAATGTTTTATATATATTTCAATAGCACGTTTATAATATTCTTCCACTTTGTCATATTTACCTAAGACAACAACAAAAAAAATTGACGTGTGCAAACAATGCAAATTTTTCTGTTTTTTTTTTTACTTTTTATTTTTTATAGAAATGATTTAATAGAACTCGACGAGCTGAATGGGAAGACGTATTTTATAATTGTTTTTTTTTGCGAACATTTTGATTAAAAAAATTGAGTTTTTTCTCAGTAGCTCTGAGTACCTATTTTTTTCTAAAAGTGCGTTTTTTACACTAAAGAGAGAATATGATTAGGTTTGCCATGAAAAACTGAGTCTATGAGATTGATAGTAAATTAGTCTTACATACTCACGTCAGTCTTTCATGATGAACTTAAACACATAAGTTTTTGAATATGAAAAATATAGTTTTAGAAAAAAAAAATGACCATTCAGTACTAACGAAAAAAAACTAAGTTTATTTTTACTCAAAGACTTTCAAAAAAGAAATAATGAAATATATTTTCTTATTTAGCTTGTCCAGTTCTATTTAATTATGTACAAGAAACACACAAAAGAAATTGCTCGAATAATAAAAATATGTTTTACCTTGATTAAGACACAATAATGCTAAATTATTTAATTGTTTCCCTACATCAGGATGATCTACACCAAAACATTTTTCTCGAATATCTAATGCTCGTTTACATAATGGTTCTATGTAATAAAAAGAAATGATTTAATAACATAAAAACAAAAGAAAGTCGATCACCAATATTTAATTCAAATTACCTGCTTCTTTATATCGATTCCTTTTTCCATAAAGTACAGCTAAATTATTTAAAGTAGCAGCAACTGCAGGATGTTCAAGACCAAGTGTTTTTTCTCGTATTGTTAAAGCTTCAGATAATAATTGTAATGCTTCTTTAAATTTATTTTGATCACGATAAACTAATGCAAGTATATTAAGCATTGTTGCAACATCTGGATGTGTATGACCATGGGTTTTTTCAAGATCTTCAAGTGCTTGTCGACATAATGGTACAGCTACTTCATATCGACCAGCTTGTGCATATTGTATAACAAGATTGTGTAGTGTACGAAAACGTGCTGGAACTTCCGAATGATTTTTTATATCAGGATTAATATTAGTAGGATTAATTGAAGTTTGTTCTTTTATTTCAGATGGCATGTCTTTATCAATATCTATAGAATTAGTTAAATTAAAATTTTCATCGGTTGTAATAGATGCTAATGATTCATTTAATGCACGAATATCTTGTTCATACTCTTGTTTCATTTGTGTACTTGTTTGTAAATTTTTTTCAGTTAAAGATAATTCATCACGTAACCAATTATTTTCTTGTGTTAATCGTTGTACTTGTAACATTAATTTATATGTTTCACTATCAAGATCATCTAAATGATTTTCAAGTTGTAACATAACAACAGCTTCATCAATACCCAAATTAATTGATTCAAGAGATTGTTGAATATATGTACGTTTATCATCATTAGTAGATGATGAAAGTAACAAATTATGTTCTTGTCGTAATGTTTCAAGACTGGATATTGTCGATCGAGTTGAATGAGTTAAATCCCGAGCTAAAAGACTCGTAGCCATCTAAAATAAGGTGAAAAAAATATAATCAAGGTCACACTACTTACTCGTATTCAGATTAATTGAAGCTATTATTAAACGAACATGTGATGCGTAATGGTATAGTATTTTTCTACCTAGTAAGAAACGTGTGGACTGAAGAAAAGAAAAAGAAAAAAGAATGAGTAAAGATGGTGCTCATGAAGAACACAATATGCACTTTCTCTTAGTTGTTTTTTTTTCTTTTAATATTTTTCTTTTACTAAAATTACATATGAACATAATTTGAGAAACTAACAAAAGTGATTATATAATATTGAACAAATGTACAATTTATTTCATCTTACCTTATCGCACTAGACTGTTTAAAAGAGAAAAAAGAAATAGTTGGTTAAATCATTTGGCTCTTTCGATGCCACTGGGCATATACATATCGAGTTTTTTTCTTTTTTTTCTTTTCGCTCTACTACCATCACCTCTAATAATGATCGAATGCATACGTGTCAGCTGTTACAGAGAAGACGCAAACGCTTAATCTCAAATCAATAGAAACAAGCAAAAAAGAAAAAGAAAAGAGAATAAAACAAAAAAAAAGGAAAAGAAATGGAAAGAACAGCATCTTAGGTTTTTATAGGTGTTGTGTTTTTTTTTTGCTCGTTTGTGTTTCTTACTAGCTCATTTTAAAATTATTTAGTCATGAAAAAAAGTAGAATGAGCAATCTGACGCTAGTAGTAAGAAAAGCAAATGAGGGATGCTTTGACAACATAACCAAACAGAGAAAAAAAATCCCGAGAAAGAAAGATGCATATTTTTCTCTCTTTCTTTTGAAATTTACATTTACCTCGACATTGACATGGGGTCACAGGACCACAAAGTAAATGTTGAACAACGTATAACGCGATGTAGTTATTTTCAACTGCTTTAAATTTATAGTACAAAATTTTTGTTTTCAGATATAAGAATTTTTTTCTAGAAGTCATATGTTTTTTTTCTTGTTATGATTTATTATCATTTTTATGTTAATCGATTATTGACGTTGTCACAAAACAAACTTTAACGGAGCCTTTTTGTTAAACAAACATGTTGAAGTATAAAACAAACAATATCAATAGCATTCTTTTATATTTATATAACAGTCTTTTTTTGAAAGATTAATCAAATACAAGTATATGAAATAAACAAATGAAAATGAACAGCAACTGAACAAGTTTCGTTTAAATTTTGTTATTTGAAAAAAAGTCTAAGAAAAAGTTCACTTTTTGTGTTAAATAATTTTTCAAGATCGACATATTTTTTTGTCATTTCCTTTGGCGCACATGCTTTTTAATCATCATAAATCAAGTATAAATAACTATTTGATTTTAATCATAAAACTTTCATGTATTGATCAATCAACAAGTTAAATGAATCATGCACGATAAAATTGAAAGCAATCTTTTAAGTCTCAAGGTCAATCATGTTGTTTTATAATCAAATGTTATTTTTTGTAAAAAATAAAGAATTATACTGCAATGAATGATTCAATAATATTGAATAAAGAATTTATTTTATAAAAAAAAAAAAAAAATTGACTTATTTTTTTTTCGACAATAAATTTAACGTAAGAATCAATTTTAAATTGATCAATCATACTATTATTTTTAATTATACATGATGAGAAGGGAATTGTAATATCTGATATATGAATATGAAGGCCATTACATTTGGTACATAACGATGTCAAGGATAGTACATATTTCTATTTATATATTGATTCTAATTAGTTCATATTGTTATTTTTTCTTCGTAAAATGAGATCAATAAGATATTGTATAAACCTACATATGAATATTGTGCAAATGTTGTGTAACATTAATTTCTATTTCATTGAAGTGTATTGAAAAAAAAAATCAAATGTGAATTGTGTTATTTCAGTCAAACTCTCGAAATTATTCTTACATTGTATTAAAATCAGATCGAACAACGCTCATGGACATGCTTATGGCTGATATGAAACTTGCTCATGTGTGAATAATTAGGACAATTGAATTGAGTTTTTCGATGAAATATATATAATTTCGCTATACTTTTTTTTTTTTTTTCTTTTTATGACTTTCTTTCTTTTGAGGGATACCAATTGAAAACAACTAATAATCGATCAATCATTCGTTATATTCATGTTGAATTACATATACACAAAAAAAGAAAATAGAAAAAAAGATGATAGAAAGAATCAGTCAAGCTAAGAATAATTATTTTTATTAACGACGAGGCGTTATTGATACGACAATGAACACAAAAGCATTGTTTCTTATATACTCATTCATTATACTTGCAATTTCTTTTTCTTTTTTGCGGAGGTTGACACATAATTCTTCTTCGGCTTATTGAATTTCTTCATCTATTTCATTCCTTCTGAATGTCTTTATTTTTTTTTCTTCGTCTTTCGTTCTTTTGTATTCGTCTGTATATAAACTTGCACGACTAATATCAATTCTGAATCATAATTCAACTACTTATAGATACAATTCTACTTTATTTGAAATATCAAGCACATACATTCGTGTTAAATCATTATTAGTGAGTAAGCTTATTTATGTCTTTTGCATAATTAAGGAGTCTAAAGACAAATCATATCTGACGATGAATGACTCACCAAGGACAAGTTATAGGCATTATCATACATAAGCGGAAAATGCATTTAATTATATGTACACAAAGAGAAAACCCGTTACAACGTAAACGATGGCAAGTATGGCAAAACGATTTTTCTGTATACAATGAAAGTAATCCTGCTGTGAAAATTATGGAAAAATGACATCATTGACAATATTAATAGAAATTCTTTTTGTATTTTTATATATGTGTTTCATACAGAGATGTCTCTAGAAAGTCGTAGGAGGAAACTACATGTAAAGCTTCATAGTTATTTACGGCCATCATTGTGTAGGTGTTCTTCATGAATAATTCCGACGATAAATAATAAGCCTACTCGAAACCCTTAGTTATTAAAGTCAAAAATTTCTTGTCAAGCTTGAAAGTAAGATATAGTTTATTACAGATATTGTATTAGTTCGTAGTTTTTAGGAATCAAAACATAGCATCCTAGTTTCTCATAAGTTTGAACCAAACCGATCTCACCTCTGATTTATTAGTCATTGTTGTCAATGTTATTATTATTCATAATTGTTTTTTTTTGTGATAACTTTCTATTGAAAACTTCTCAGCAGAAAACGCCACATATAACCTATATCAATTTTTATACACACACTTTACATGTTGTTAATTGAGATACTGTCAAAATATTCTTGGTTTTTCTTCTTCTCTTATATTTTTTCTTGTAAACCTTTCTCAACAATAGAAGAATGCCCTTGAGAAACGATGCGTCGAATGTAATAGAAGATACCTATTTGTTAATTAGTTTCTCGCACTTTAATTAGTTTATTTATGTCAATATATGCCTAATTTATCAGTTTTAGCCATATAATCTTAAAAGACTGAGGTCAATATTATTTCTAGGCTTTTAAAAATCTCTTTTTGAATTATTGAAACCATCTCAGTGTTTTTGAAGAAATCTTATAGTTAAATATTATGAAAATAAATGACACAGAATAGAAGATTCTCCTAAAAAATTTGCATGTTTGTACATAATAGAAGATACCGTGTCTTTCATTGCCGACAGAAGAGGGGGGCTGTCATTCAATATCTCAGTAAATCATTATTTGAAGTAGTAACAATGACACTGATAAATATTTACAATTTAGACTCTTGTGCAAAGTAATGTCTGCTATGCCTTCATTGCTATTATTATTATTCATAACAATTCTATTTGATGTAAATGCCCAATGGTTTATTATCAAGAAAAATTATCCATCAAAAGCAATGAATTATCCAAATCCTGGTAAAAGAAGTATTACAGAAGAAGAATTAAAATTATTAAATATCGATTGTTCTATTCCTTATTCATATTTCAATTCGTATGAAGAAAAAACAGCATGGTTAATATCATGTAGATATGAAAAACCACCATTAAAAATAATTAATGATTCATCATCATCATCATCATCATCATCATCATCATCTAATTCGAATAGTATCGAAGATGAGCTATATTCTATACCTGAATTTATTTCTAAAGAACGGCGAACTCCACGTTCTATTCCACCTTATTTTTATGAACATCCTGATTTATTCAATAGACGACGATTACTCAAACGCTTAAGACGATTCACGAACAAATAATTGACAAATCATGAGAATTTCTCATGATATTATTAGTTTTTATTTGCTTTTACATATATGCATTTTACTTTCTAAAGCAATGAGAAAGAATAAACCACATATAAATAAGTATGCAATATATTCTCTTTTTTTTTTGTTGTTGTTATAAAATAAACATTTATTTTATTTTTATATGGTATGAATGAACATGAAAAAAAAATGTACTGTTCATTTATCATCAAACCACATACGGGCAAAATCTTCATTTATAGCATAAGGATGGTCGATACTCATTAAATCACTACGTTTACCCCACCCTAAAATAAATAAATATAGATTGATATAGAGAAAAGAAAAAGAATAACAAAATTATTTAAACATACCAACGCCTTTTCGTTTAACTAGTGGTGGAATATAATCATCCTCTTGATATTCATGAATTGGATAAGTCCAAGAAAATTTTTTTACTGCTGATGGACGTGCATCAATAGTAATTCGACTGATAAAATATTGGTAGATAATTAAAGTAATGACGAAGAAGAAAAACTTCATGTTGAACTGATTATATGTTAACCAATTGATGAAATAAAAATAGGAAATGAATTGACGTGAGAATTAAACTGAAAGAAAAAAAAAAGAATTTGCAAATCACGGTGCTTGTCTCCTACAAATCGGTGATTTTAAATACTCAGTTCGCTACAATGAATAAGAGAAAAAAAACGAGAAAGAGAGAGAGAGATAATCAAATACACTTCACATTTATATTGCTTATTTTATTCATATATTTTGTATTCAATTGAAAAGTTTTAATACTATCCAGGATATTGCACATTAGTGCACAGATTAAGAGAAACGTGAAAGGGTAGTAAATAAAAGTCAATGTTCTTTTTAGCGTGATGTCTATCTATTCATAACTTGTTCTCACCAATTTATCATTTATTCACTTTTTTCAGTAGCTGTGAGTAAAAATACGCCTTCTCGGTAGGCGGAGGCGGTGTTACTCTTTTTTTTTCACGATCAATTGCACAAACATTGAAAAAAATTTTGAATAAATATCAATCGATTGTTAACATTATATTTGTAGCTAGATTTTTCTCTGATTGAATCAATTGATTATTTCCAATAGATTGGCATTACGTGACAAGGACAAGTAATGAAATGTTGTTTTATTTTAATTACATACCGAAGATAGTGTAAAAGAATTTGACTTTGTTCTTTTTTTTTTTTTTTGAATAAAATCGTAAAATTTAGTCGTATTACGTTCTGTGTTTCAAAAATTTACACCTTTTGCTAATCTAATTCGATTTACAAATAAAAAAAAAAGTAGTTCATTTTCTTTTTGTGTCAGTTCAAATCAAATCATTATCTATCTGTAAACATGAGGAATTTTACATAATCATCAACATGAATAGGAGAAAATATGATCAACTGATTTTTTTTTAAAATTTTCTTATTGAAATCAAAATAACAAGTCATCAAAATTATTGTTTAACTGATTTTTCAATCATCATCAGAGTAGTTATTATAAATTATGTAAACGATATGCATAAACATAATTATGATTTAATGCTGTTATTTATAGTACAGTATAACTCTTTATATTCAGAATTTTTTCTTAGCTTATAGTTAATTGATTGAGAACAAATTTTTGATGGCGACAAAAAAACAAGGATGTTTGTGTACATGACATGAAAAAAATATATCGGTAAATATATTTAGTTTTTAGTCAGATAGAACCAGAATTTGATGGTGTTTGTAAATGTAATTATTTTCAAAGTGTTTTCTTTTCTGATTTACGATTGGTTAGCTGTGCAAAAATATTAAGAATAAATAAAGTCTTGTTTGCACTAAGTAACACATAGACTTTATCCGATCATACATAAATTCTCTGGGTGAGATTTTAAGATAAATTGGACTTTTCTAGTATTTTAGAGAATAGAATGTTCTATCAAATTATGAATTATTGTGAGTTAGAACCAAAAAAAAATTAGAACCTATGAACTGGTTTTTTTGTTGTTGATTAGTTTCTCTTCACATGAGATGGAATTTGGCATAAAAATAGTATTTTTATTGCATTTTGGTATGCAACATACATTCGAGTTTGATTTAAAAGGACTCTCTTATACTTTGAATCCAGGTGATTTGAATCATAATATGAAAAGAACCTGCGTGAATAATTTTGTATCGACGTCATTTTTGGCATTCGTCAAAGATTTGGTCTCAATAAATAAACTTTAATTTAAGACAATATTTTGAATATACTGTTAGAAAAAAAAACATAATGTTTTGAATCTAGGTAATTATTGTCAATTACTTTTAATAACTCTTAAGTGAGCACAACCATTCACTAAACGTATTTTGAAAACACTTTTCACACAAGAATTACATATATAATTCAAAATGAGTATGAATAATATGGCCTTCAGTCAGGTGATTATATAAATGTCAAACAATTGCAGTGATGCTGGCTCTTATGATCGAAACATTAGCTAAACAGAAATTTTGATTATTTATTATTTATACTAGAATAAAAGAATAAAAACAAAAAGAAAATAATTCTTCATAATTGCTATAACTGATGTTTGTATAATCATATAACTAAAATCCATGTTATTCATATTATTTTATAATTATGATGCCATTCAAACATTACAGTATAGATATACTGAATCATTCTTTATCATGTGATATAATATGTATCACTGTATATTGGTATTTGACAAAATTAGTAATCTATAGTATTACGTCTTAAAATAGACTTCATAAAAAATGAGATTGGTTAGATAAAATGTCGTTCAATGTGGTTTTAAAAATCTAGTAGTGTTCAGTATTAAATACTTTTCCGCAATCGAATTTTAATTAATTATTATTATTTTTTTCTCATATAGATTTATTATGAATATATTTCCTACATCTCAAAAAAAAAAAAACTTGCTGTTTCTACATAATAGGTCATTGTCACCATGGACACTAATATCATCTCTTTGTAACAGAAGAATAAGAATTAATCTTTAAAAGAAATTTTTTGACTAAATGAAATAAAACAGATATATTGCTAATGATTTATTTAACATGGGGATGTAGCTCATATGGTAGAGCGCTCGCTTAGCATGCGAGAGGTATTGGGATCGATGCCCAACTTCTCCACTTTTCTTTTTCTTGTCTTCTAACTATACTAATAAAACAAGATTTATTGTATTTTTAAACTTAATAAAATACTTGTATTATTATTATTATTATTATTATTAAAATAAAACGTATTCATATGTATTAATAACAAAATTGATTCACGATTATCAACAGTTCTAATAACAGCAATCTAAAAATAAAAATCAACACTTAATAATTGACAAAAAACTCTGCTTCTACTTTTATGGTACAAAATCGAGTTTCAAAGATAAAGTCAACTTAAAATGGAAAAAATCTCCTCATTTTTCATATATTGCAAAGTTAAATGAATCTTCAAAATTTATTTGATCAATAACCGTTAATGAACAAATAAATGACGAAAGTAAAGTTAGCATCATATATGAGCTTTTCGTCTCCAGATTTGTTTGCTGACTTGTGTTGGCTTTCTACTTGATTATGTACGGCGTAGAATTTAAATCTCTACTGAATGGTATCATTTTCAGTATGGATATCGAGGACAAAATGGAATTCTCACTCCAAATATTGATTTTGTGTATGTGTATGGTGCATGGGTGCAGTTGTGGGAGGAGAGAAGGATAAGATCTACACTCACACCCACATTCAAACACATTGACACACACTACACTCAGACCGATACTCAAGATCTGATAAACCAGCTAACCGTCTTTCAAGCATAATTCAGAATATATTGATGCAAAGCATTGCTGATCCACACGATTCTAAATCAAGAAGCATAACAAATCATTTTATTAAGTTTCAGCTCATCTAGATTATACTAAAAGGTGACAATAAGTAGTAAGGTATATACAAGCATTATTAAAAATAACTCGTTCATTACATTAAGTTTCATCATAAAATATTCGATTTCGATTAAAAAATCAAGGCAATCAAAATAATCTGATTGTTGATTTTTCCTTCATTGATAAAAACTCATTTGTTTTCCTTTCTTATAGATTATACTACTGATGAAAATTTCGATGGACAGTATTTTCTCAGCTGAAGACTTTTGATTCATTACACAACGTATGATATTATAACCATTTGATGATTTTTTTTAACCGTGATGAAATCACAATAATGACTGTTTGACTTACACCCACACCCATATCATGAAAAAATAATTAATTAAACCATGAAGCAAGAGAAAACTGATGACACATCAAGAATAAACAGAGAGCATCATGTAATGTTGATAAAATGCATTGGAGGTTCAAGATGCATAGCTGTACTTTGCACATAGAGCGGAACGATTTGTTCATGTCGAAAGAGAATGCTATCTGACGCGATTGTATGCTTGTTCTTGAATGCTTGTAGAGCGAATGCCAATGGAACAAGTCGAACTGTTTCGTTTTCAATAAATGGATATCGACTCATATCAATAATGATAAAATCATCTAAGGTCGACATCTGAGCAATTGAATACCATTTTGAAGTGGTCAAAACATCATCAATGTCCAATTGAACATAGAGAGGTGTATCAGCATCATTTCGTATTCTATAAGTTACATTGAGACTTTCGTTACTAATTGCAACCAGAGGTTGATCAATGATAGCCATCATGATTCGACTCGTGTCGATTAGTACCCGTTCTTCTCGATAAGTAAGAGTTCCATCATGACGTCCAATACAAGTGCGAATGCGAAAGCTTTGTGATGGAATCTCAATTGGTATAACGAAATTCGTTGTCGTAGAATAATTCATCAAGATTTCACCGTTCGTACCTATCAATTGAACGGAATTATTCAACGCTTCGTTCGGATCATCACAAGTGGTAATTGCAATAGCGTCACTTTGGTTGACGAGTGGAGGTGTGGCTACTAATTTGAATATTTTATCGTAGAATGGTGCATGCAGTTGTGTTCGACATCGAAATTTGCTCTTGACGTTCACTTCAATTGTACAATCTTCACTACAATGGTATGTCCATTGACCAATATTTGATTCCTTAGATATATTGATGATGAACTTTTGAAGATAGTCACCTTCAGAAGACGGAGTCGGTTGAAAAGTCGAGCCTGTCGGATCGATCAAGTAAACAACGGACGATAGACTCGATGATACGATGTTGACTTGAAGTGATATCGCTGTTGAATCAATCATAAATGTTCCTTGACGACGACTCGACATGGATTCGAACAGTATGCACTCGTAGCCGACCACTTTCTTGAGATTACGAAAGAGAAATTTTCGGATAGTGTTCGGTTGTGAAATGTCAACATTCATAAAAAGACCACCAGTTGTTTCTGCAAAATGAATAAGTTCATTGATTGTTTCTGTTCTTGAGTGTGAATTATTAACAAATAATATGTCAATCTTAGTCTGTTTCAATTTCGCCAATGCTCTAGTAAGTCCTTGTGAACAGGGTTCATGAGCGGGTGCATCTGTGAACATGAACACCAATGACTCTGATTCGCAAGCTTTAAGTGCTTCATTCAAAGCGTCATAGTAACGTTGAGATGAATTTCGAAGATCAGTCTCATTTAATTCTTTAATTAAGTCGACAAAATCAGTGGCTTCTGTGACAATATGAATGGGTCCCCAATGGGAATCGTTGAATGGAGAAAGAATATAGTTGCTAGGTTTGATAAATAAATCTTGCATCATGTCGATGAGTTCAGAGGCTACGACTCGAATCATGTCGACTACGGATTGCAATCGATCGCTAATATCGATTACAAAGACGAGACTGAATGAGTTCGAAAGGCCAAGTAATTTGCCGAATACATCAGTATTTGTCGAAGTCCAAAGTTCGTTTAGTACTTTGACGCTGGCATCATATGCAACTGATGCTGCTTGAAAATGCAAATGTCCATGTGCAAAACTCGGACCATCCTTACTAATTCCTTCACAGTAAACGTCTTCTTTGTCAGAAAATGAGCAAATGAATCCATGATTGCACTTGCCAGAGGGTGTCTGAAACGGGTATTTGGTGGAATAATAGCCGCTTGTCAATTGTCGATCGATAATCAAATTGTTTCGAAGGCAATGCTCGTCTAAACTGCTGCAACTTTTACAAGTTCTCGTGTTTTTGTCAGCAACGGAACCCAAACGACGACCGGCAGCTAGATCTCGATTTGGTTCAGTGATACCTAGTTCTATCCAATTCGAATGACTGTAAAAATCTTGTACGGAATGGAGCATGGCGCCGATCGCCATACGTGCATGTGCCCATTCATGACGTGCCACACTCGATTGAACCGCCTTTAGTTGCATCATGACAAATATTGAAGCGCGTTCGAATTCTTCATCGTCAAAATGAGCATAAGGCACGGAGCTATAACGTAAATCGCTTAAAAGGTTCGCCATAGTGATCTCTTCACGAGCTAGACGAAAGGACGTTGGAATGTAGTTGAATTTTGCTAGTTCTTTTGTGATGGCCATATGGAGATCTCGGCAGGTACCATTGTTGGCTTGAACGATTGTTTCAAGATGTTCTAGATGATAAACACGTTGTAAATACGTTATTGCTAGTCTGTAAAGAGCACACGTAGTGACAGAATAATGGTTTGCTTTCCAAACATCGAGTGATGTTGACTGACCGAACCATAGTACACCAGTTGTGAAACATGTCACTGTACCGAATAATATTCCAATGCCGATAACGGAAATAGTCATTAGTAAATGACTTGGTTTCATTCTTCGTTCTTCAAAAGTGAATATATGAAGTGTATCGAATGCTCGTAGGTCTTGTATCTAAACAAACAAGAAAACCTCTCTCGTTATCACAAAGATAACATTACTCTAAAAGTATCAATAAATTGTGTCAAATAATCGATTCTTCAGCAGTATAGATTTGAAAATCATACATTGAAAAGATGTGCTAAAAACTGCGCTCTTCCTTCCCATACGCTCTCAGATTCGGAGAGATGAATTAAACGAAGATTTTTCAGATGCAAAAAATGGAATGATTTATTTAAAGTTGAATTTCGGTCCTTTTTTGTGGTCTAACGAACTAACTTTTTTCGTTAGAAATTGTTAGTACAAAAAAAATGAAGGATTATCATAAATCTATTGTTCCTATTTTCACACATAGAAATACAAATATTCGAAGAAGAATAAGATTGGATCTCAGTAGAGGCACCATGAGAATGCTTATTTATTTACAAAATAAAAGCAATAGAAGCAAATTTCATTCATGTTTCATTGTCTGTGTTCCTCTCAGATTTGAAAGTTCAAAATCGAACGATGAATTTGTAAGACAACATGTGGTTAACGAAGACATCAGTTTAGAACTGAAGATATATTCAAGATATAATTATTGCGAAATAAAAATTTCATATAGAATGCAACACATATTCATTAATCTTGAAAATTAATTCAAATTTTCTGACTCATTTGAGAGATATTCTCGAGAACTTTTTGGTTTCTGTTTTTTCAAAAATAATACTCATCAACCTTCGGCAGCAATCTTTCAAGAGATTTTTAAGCGATTTGCTATGATCATGTAATAGAACATGTTAAAAAACTTATATGAATGATTTATTCTCAAAAGAGATACAATTTTTGTATGGAGAACGTTGATAAATATAACGAACATAGATGTATACGAGAGTTTCATAATGATATATTTCACTTTAATGAAGACGCAGTTACTTATTGACTGTTTACAATTTGAAGTGAATAACTATTTAGTCTCAAGTATTATTTTATAAATATTCATAGCTATTTAAACATTACTTGATGACAAAATTATGGTGATTCTTTTTCTTTTTCAGCAAGAAAGGGAAAAGTTGAATATATGTCGATGAGCAAGAAAAGAAAATATCATAGAACTATTCTTTTGTTTGAATTGAATATTGAATGCTTCGCAACAAAAATCTAAGAAGTATTCAATGTCAATAAAAAAAGAAAAAAGAAATGAATGTAAATCATCATACAAGCCAATTATTTGAAGTGCTATAAGCGAAAAATTGTTACAAAGCAATGAACTACTTCTATCATTTAGTAGTGGTACATTATTTGAAAAAATATCTCTTTTTAAGAAGCTACGAATCGCTGCAGAAGAGTTCTTCACAGATTGAAATCTTCGTAATGAAAAGTTATACTAACAACGAACACTGTCTGAATCATAGGAGAGTAAAAAGACAATTGCAGAAAATTATTGTATTCAATAATTCTTCATTCGACTTCAAAAGGCATCGTGAAATACAATCTTTAAAAAAACCACTATTGACCTACTTGTTGGTTGACAAGATTCAATACAAGTAATAGTTAATGTTGGTCGGACAAAAAATATGTCGCACTTTTATGCGATATGCATCATTCTCACGCCCACACTAATTTTTGAGTGTAACAGCACATTCCAAAGGGCGATTGTGGCGCCTATAGCATAGAAGCATTAAACAAACGTCCTAATTGTTTTGTTTGTTCTCTTTTTTTAAGTACCCGAGACTCCAACGAAAGACAGACGTTCTAAAAATGAATGAGTAGGCAATTCAGTCTCGTCAGATTGTTTCATTTTATTAAAGGCAATATCACTTTCTAAGATGGAATATTACAGAATAATGGATAAAAACATTTTATCAAACACAAGATAGAACATTAATGATTAGAATAATATGCATCAAGCAAGCAATTTCTGTTTAAAATAGAATAGTATTGCAATTATCGACACATGCTACATATGCTTTTTCCTGGTATACATAGACAACAATAACTTCATAATGGAAAATAAACCAATGTACCAGGCTTACAAACAAAACAAATACTTTATTCGAATCGTATTATTTGAGTCTACTCGAGAAAAGAAATTGTATCACGGAAATTCTTTCTACCATTTGATGTAGTGTATCATCAGGATCTGGGATTAATAATTTTTTTGTATACATATATTTGTATGCATCATCAAATACACTAACTAAGCAGATTTCTATGAATTGATTTCTATCGTATCATTTTCTCATGAGAAAAATTATTATTTTCAAAGTTCAAAAGAAACTAATTTCCGAGCTTCTCGAAACTCTTTCATTGTCAAAGAAAAAATCATTCAATGGTTTTGATGATGAACTGCAGGTAGGTCACATTTGTTGGTGTTCGTCAAGTAGTATCATGATAGAGGTGTCGATAGAAAGTAACGAAACTGGAGCTAAATGTTCATTGAATTTCATTTCACTATCGAGAAAATTTTCGTATTTTGTCTTACACAAAAGTACAATTGATTATTGACGGTATTATTACTTTCTATGCTGAATAGAAAGTATGTTTCAGATGAACAATGGTCTTCGATGCACGTTCATCGAGTTTTCTTGATAACAGATGTCAACAAAAAATGACTGGCTAAATTATCAATATCAAGAATTAATCTATTTGATTGATGGAATCTAAGAAAAAATGAAAATCTTTAATGTTCACAATTGTTGCCTCACTCATCTCTCCACATACATAGTTGATAATCTCATGTAGAGGGCTAAGTGTTGTCTTTAAATAATTTCAATGAGGTTATACAAGTGATTGAATTCAGCGATTGAATCGATTCAATGACATATTTGAGTTGCTGTTGAAGGTACTGATCTAACAACGCAGACATTTCGTGTTCATGTTTGCGGCTCTACATGAATAACGAGAATTTTCGCGGCTACTTCATACTATCTACTACACTTAATATTTAAGCAAGAGTTATTCATGATGAATTATGTTTTGTTTGTGATGGCGCAGCTCCATCTCTCACAATAGTTGACAAATGGTTTAAATGATTTCGTGAAAGTGGTTAAGAGTTTAAAGACGATGCACGAACTACTTGTTTTTATATTTTGTTTTTGTTCCATCAACATTACTTATTGTGCACCATCATACATATAGATAGCTGTGCATTGAAGGAGATGAGAAAAACGAATATCGAAAAAAGAGAAAAAGAACAAAGAATAAATCAAGAAAAAAAAATACATATCGAAGACAACATAAACTGATGTAACCATCACACATCATCACCACTAAGCAGGTCTTATGTAAACTTTATTGTTATGCTACTAATTGAAGAATGATGTAATAGCGCAGAGAAATAGAACATCGTTTTTACTATCAATCCATATAGAGACAAGGTTTCTCTAAGTTTTTTTACAAGGAATAAAAATACGTTCGCTACTACTTTTTATATGCCCATAGTAGTCTGAAATCCAAACTATAAAAAAAACCAAGATAAAATCGATGTCAAAATAAAAGAGCAATTATTTTGCTGCATGAAAAAATAATTCTAATGTTAGAGATCTATAAGTACAGTACTTGCTTTTGTTGTTAATAAAACCATATAAAGTTAATCAAATGATTGATAAACATAAGAACTATTTGTATTGCAACACATGTATATGAAGGTATACGCTAATCAGCTGAATCGTCATCTCTACCTCACAATAGTAGATATTTGATTTTTAAAAATGTGCAGCGTCTAGTTTCTTGTCAATAAGTTCTCTACCATCCTTTTCTCTCTTTTTCACTTAAAAATTTCTGGATATTAAGAAGATTTTTTAAAAACTTATCATAAAACTTCAACTGCTGCCGCCGATCGATGCATTGACTTACACTTATAAATGTATGTTCTGTTATGAGTATTAACTGATTTTAGAAATGAACCAAGTAAATCTTCTATATGTGATCAGGTTATTTCAACAAACTGTCGTGAGACACGTTCTGGTAAGCATATGAGCATTAGACTTTTATGGAAACAAAAAAAAACAACGAGAAATGAATCTATGGTTGTTAATTTTAGTACCAATTGATGCAATCAGTAAGACAATAGTTGTTTTTTAAAAAAAATTGAAAAACGAATACGTATGTAAGAAAAAGTTGCGTTGGCATGTTTGCTGTGCTGTTTATTCCTTCGGTACTCAATTATTCGAAGAGCCGAGAATCAATCATAGAGAGGTATACGGACACGAAACAGTTTCTTATTTGATAGATAGTGAAGACACAATTAAAACGTTGCAATTATATGTAAGGTTAAAACATTGATAAAGATAGCTCTATGAACTCTAGAAACAGCACTATTAAAACTTTTTTATCATAAAAAGTTAGCAAGAATCAGAAGGAAGACTTAGTTCTTTAAGAACAGATTTCTTTTAATTCAAACGTAGTTCTTCAAATAATTGATGTTATATGATTCAAAAGGATTACATAAAACCTTATGATCATCAAAATTTTTTTTTCTCAACTTTTAAACAAAATGTTAAATTGAAACGATAACAATTCATGAGTACGGTAATTTATCGTGAGCAGAGATGTAAGCCAATCAAACACGGCATGTAAAATAGATAATAGATTTTTACAATTTTCTTTTTTAATCCTAATCTTATTGATTGAATTACAAAATCAAGACAAACTTTACTCCGTCAATGAGATCCGGAGCAAATGTGTGTATATATAGAAGAGCAGTACAATGGAGAATCTTTTCAAATATTCTTGCAAGACAATGTATCAGGAGACGAGAGAAAAATCAAAAGATTACTGTACAGTAGCAAAAAGAAAGGTGAACATCTGACCATGCATTTTTTTATTCTGGTTTCGCGCTTAATGGTACATTTACAAGTAAAAAACCTGATATCAATTTCAATTGATGCCAATGAGCTCAAACACCTTGCACAACCTACATGACCTCTTATATCCTTCATCTTGCAAATTATTTACTTTTTTTAACTCACTAATACTTAGTATATTCTTCACGCTTGTGTTTGATAACCTCATTGATTACGAAAAAAAGACTAATTTTACTATCAAAATTGTAACAGCAAATATTGAAGTGATCGTCATTCAATAATTTTCGCATAAACTTTCAGAAAACATAAGCTCTGATAATATGACATTTTGACGTAAGTTTTACACGATCATAAAAGATATCACTTCCAATGAAATAGCGTTTGCCCTCGTCCCGATGAGATTGATATTATCTTGCCTGTATCTAGGGATATCATATGACCTTTACAACCTTATACATCTAAAATAGTTGCGTAACCAAAGGAATGGGTAGTGGAAACTAAGCCTTTCTTCATGAAACAGAAGGTGGCCGTATAAGTCCTTCCCACTGTCAAATCCTGGTTACGCTACTACCCAAGCAGACAAACATTTTCAAAAACGCGTTTAAACGCATAAAAAAGGGCTAAAAATCCATAAAAAGTGGACGTGTTTGGCTCACAATCACGGTTCCCGGCTGCCAGCGAAAAACGACCACTTTTGTGCGTTTAAACGCGTTTTCAGCAAAAACACGCTTGTAAACTCGTATAAACGCATAAAAAGAACATAAAAAGTAGTTATCTTTTTCCTTTTTGTGAACTATGATTGTGATTTATGAATATAAAAAGATGACAACTTTTTATGATCGTCTTATGCGTTTACACGCGTTTATCACCGTTTTTTACTGAAAACGCGTTTAAACGCACAACAAGGGCAAAAAGTGGTCCTTTTTCGCTGACAGTCGGGAACCGCAATTGTGAGCCAAACACGTCCACTTTTTATGGATTTTAAACCCTTTTTTGTGCGTTTAAACGCGTTTTTGAAAATGTTTGTCTGTTTAGGTAGTCTAACAATTTAATTCAAAGAAAACATATTATTCTCTATTAAAAAACAGGTAGTACAACATATATACCAGGACTATTAGAGGTTTAACTGAAATCGTATATAAATTGAAAGAACTAGAAAGTTATATATTTTACATAATGATAGTATTGTTCTTATATTTTTGAGTGAATCATATATGTTTGAATCATAAATCTCTAGAAAATATTTTCATTTTATCGAGTACTTATGAAAACACTTCAGCTTTATGTTATTGAATAATCTTTATTTTATTCATAAATCATTTTATCTAGAATGATTTATTGACCCAGATATAATCTGATGCAAAACAATTGAATTCTATAAAATCTAAAATCAACCGTCATTAAGCGACAAAAGAAAGCAATAAAGCGACAGATGACGCTCTCCTAACATATGATCTAGCAATGTATGTCACGATTTGTTTGTTTCCATTTGTTTATTAGATTCTGTTTCTTGTCATAAACTCACTCATGACATTGTACTAAAATAGATTTTCAATGTTATAACTGATCTAGTTTTTCCCTTCCTTTTGATTCTTTTCTTTATATACTTTTATATGTTCTAATTTTTATTTATGAATAATGTTGTTCTGTTTTCAAATAAAATTTTGAAATTCACAAAGATAAAAATTGATGAAAATATATCAATTATATCTCACAGAGTTAACATTTTCTTGATTCTCAATAGTTTGATTAATGAAAGAAAAATGCTTGTCAAGAAAAATAGAATATTAAACAAATATTTCTTTCTTTTTCGAAAACAGAATACTCATGAATTTTGTATGAATATATAAAACAAGAATATAAATTATTGGTTTTTTTAAGATCAAATTCATTTGAAAATGACTATATTGTGTGCAATTAATTAACATAAGTAAGTATTGATGAATGTCTTTTTTTCTTCGGTTTACAAACAATAAGATAATATTTAAAGAAAATAGATTCCCGATTGGATAGTATGATTCTTTTAATATAGTAGATACTGATAAAATCAAAATAAAACTTTTTAGTTTTTGTTTAGTATATTAATGCATCATCAAAATTCAGAACAGTTACAAGTAAGTTTTTTAATTTTTGATTTTTCTCAAATTATTCTTTTCTTTTTTTGTTTAAAATTAAGATTTTTAATGAACATTACGATGATGATAATGTGGTTTCATTCGATGATATAACATCTTCTTCAACAAAATTAACAAATGCATTCAATTATGCAACAAAACTTCTTGAAAAAGTTTCATCTCTGCGTGATAAACCTGAATTATGTGATTTTCGTATTGATATTAATGATAAACATTTATATTGTCATAAATTTTTATTAATTGCAATATCAGATTATTTTAAAGCGATGTTTAGTGGTTTGTATATTTAAATTTCTTTCCATGTTTAGGATGAAGATAAAACAGAAATATTGTTTTATTTATTGTCAACATCTCGAACAAATTAAAGAAAAGATTTGATTAGTTAAAAGAAATCAACACCATTTTGTTGAATTTTATCAAAAATCTTTTTACGAAAAAAATTCTTACAAAACATAAGGAAATGTCCTCAAGCTCTTCATAATCTATCTTCAGCAAACGATAATCATAGTACAATCGGCGCAAAAGAACGGTATTATCTGTTGTTTTACTCTTGAAGAGTTTTTCTAGAATGAATGTAACTCGCTAAAGACAGGTCATGAAAGAGCTTGGGAACACGTCATTATGTTCAAATGAACTTTTTCATAAAATATTTTTGATAGATTTCAAGAAACTCTTTGTTTAAGTCATAATTTCTCCGAGATATTTCATTCAGATCTGTTAATAAAAAAATTCAACAGTTACTTCTCTTAATAGAAAAATTGTTTTAGTTATTCAAAATCTTTATATTCTTAAACATTTTTTTGTCTTTGATTCCTCTTTATATATAAATTATTATTATTATTTTTTTTTTTTTATAAAAGGTAATATGAGTGAAAGTCAATCCGATCATGTTGAATTAAAAGGTTTTGAACGTTCATCATATGGTGTTGAATCTATGATAAATTTTTGTTATACCGGTTCATTATTAATAACATTTGATAATATTGATGAATTATTAAATGCTGCAACACATTTACAAATAAAAGATGCTATTGATTTATGTTCACAATTTCTTATTGAATTATCTTCAATTAAAAATTGTATTGATATATATAAAATAGCTGATTTATATACACTTCATGATGTTTTAAATATTATAAAAAATTTTATATCAAAAAATTTTGTTTTACTTATGTTTCATGCACATCATCAATTTATACAATTAACATATGAACAAATTTATCATGAATTATCTAGTGATACATTAGAAATGTATCAATATAGTGAATATGATTTATTTACAATGACATGTACATGGATTAAAGCAAATTATAATGAAAGAGAAAAATATATAGCTAATTTATTTAAACTTATTCGTTTTATGTTAATGACACCTGAACAATTATGTGATCATGTTCGTCATCATGAACTTATTAAAAATAATGAAGAATCAAGAATATTAGTACAAAATGCATTGTGTTATTATGCATTACCACATCGACAACCACTTATTGATGATATACAATGTCGAATAAGAAATGAACCTATACTTGTTGCTGTTGGAGAAGTTGAATTATTTTCATTAAATACAAAAATAGAAAAATGGGATACACTTTGTCAAGCTCCATTAGAAGAAAATTATCCGGTAGGATAAATTGAATGTATTTTTTTTGATTCGCTGTTTTTTTTTCACACTAATATTTATAAAAAAAAAAAAAGGTCGATTTGCTCCCAATATTGTGATTAGTACCGGGCGTGACTAACTCGTTTTGTTTTTCTCATCCCGATAGTGATTAGGCGTGGCAGTTTTTAGTTCCGTTCTTAGAAACTTGAAAATATATTTTGATTTGCCACAAATTGAAAATATAGACATATCTAAAACATCTCAGGATGTTGAAAAACGCATGAAAATATAATTTTCAAATTAGCATTCGTCTATAAAGAGTATAAACCTTGACATCCCTAGTTAAGTCACAGTAATCACGATTCGCAACGATGATCATGAGCCTCGAAAATTAGTATTAGTTTTTTCGACTCTCTTTTCGTAAACGATGTGTATTGTTGAAGATGATTAAATATATCGATTCTATGAGTAAATATGACGAGAATGTGTTGAAGTTAAAGAAAAATTTAATATAATAGTATCGATTTAAGTGATCAATAAAATAAATGAAACAATCAGTATTTAATTACAAAATACTCAGTTTATTCAATAGAAATTCAGTTAATAAAAACTACAGAATCAATGAAAATTGAATTATTGTACTACGAAAGTATTTTTAACTTTTGATAAAATACAATATTTCAACCGAATAGCTATGTAAATAATATATTTACATATACTATATAGTTTGTATATTTCTTGTTTGAAATACTTGAATAATTTGTTTTAGTTTTATTATATTACCATCATGATATAATTCTTGTATGCCTTTTTCTTTTAGAATTTTATCAATACCATGAAATTTATCATAATAATCATGTATTCAGTGTTAGTTTTATAAACAGCTAATTTATCGCTGCTAATATAATCTAGCAGATAAATATTTGCTCCTTATTAAGATCTACGACGCTTAGCTTGGGTGTATCTGTGATAAACTATTCTTCTAGTTTCTATATAGTTCCTATAGTATTTTTTGAGCATTCATTCACATAATATAGTCTCTTTAAACTCAATATTTAGATTTATTTATATCATAATTGTCTTCTACAATCTCTTCGTCTTATGCATAACTTTCATATTGAGAAAATTGTAGCACGTCCATTATGTCTACTCATTGGCACTGTGATGAAATTAAAGGAAAGAATAGATGTTGAATTTATATATATATATGTATGTGATGTATACAATCTGTATTAAATACATAGCATAGGAAGACAAGTAATATTGTATTTTAAATTTCTATACATTTATTTGATTATTAGTAAATTTAATTTACTGACTATCTTATATCTTTTATTGTTCAACTATTTTGTTCTCTAATATAATAGGTTTTCAATAAACATATTTCTATTAACTTTCTTGAAACAAAACAAGAAGAATCACATATCGATAATTTCATTTTAATTTGACATAGTTATTGTTCAAAATATAAGTTACAAATATATTATAAGTAATTTATATATGTCATTCATTACAAATAAAAGTAATTGTAGACAACGAGTTGTTTGCAAAAAAAAAACAGGATGTGTGACTACTTAACCGATGTTAACGTCAAGTCTTATTTGTAGATTCTACTTCCTTCTACTATCTTCTTGACCTCGGAACATCTATAGAAATTAAGCAAGGATTAGAATAAGAAAATTTTTATGTGTCTTTCTCAATAAGATTTTTTTATTTGTTTTTGATTTACAATCTAGAATTATTCATATAGGTTCAGAATATATATGATAAGAAAAATCCAATTATATATATTGGAAGTATTATTGGTGAATTTGCTTTATTAAAGTGACATATTGATATATGTTTGTTTCTTTTTTTGCATGCAAAAGAAATAAACTATGATCTTTGCTAAATGTTTTTATATACATATTTAAGTATACTTTCATCTATGCTGATGATAACAGTTTATTAAATATAAAAAAAAAGAAATCAATGTGTAATTCATCAACAAATGTTGATTATTGTACAAACAAGTAGGAATTTTTTTCTTTTTTTTTTTCTATTCAATTTTTACTATAAGATAGAAGAGTAAACAATTTTTTACTTTGAATTTCTCTTATACAAATTATTATTCACGTTTCACTTTTCGTAATGCTTACACAATTTTGACACGTGACTATGACATGTACTCTAAGTTAAATATAATCGAATAGTACGTTTTAGAACGGAACATCTTGACATTTTCACTAAGAATAATATTATCTATGCACTTTGTTCTTTCTTCTTCATCATTAATATTTACAAGTTTATTTTACGAAGACAACAGTCTAATTGGTACTTGTCATTTGAGCTTAGATTAGATCTATCAGAATATTTCCATGGGATTAGCAGAATTTTAAAAGAGTTTGTTTATATACATATTTTGAACTATGTTATGATTGTTTTACTAAATTTTCCATCCAATTTTTAGATTTATAATAGAAAATAGAATTTTGACGTGAAGTTTTGGTCATAAATAGATCGAACGACCAATAGAATATCCTGAAAGTTTCAGTCGGACAAAATGTTCCTTTATCGAAATATTGAATTTTCAAAAAAAAAAAAAAAATAATCGATCCCTATGAACATATTACAAAAATTGAGTTCAATATCTCAACTAACGCATATTCTTTTCGACTGAAACTTGCGAGATACTCTATAGATCAATAAATCTCTCTGATTTTAGATTGACATTATATTTTTCTATTTAAAACTGAAACTAGATCGAATATATAAGTATAAAAATCCTAACTTGTCTTCAAAGATCCCTGGAGACGAATTCTTTTAAATTTTCGCTGTTCTAATCAAAATGCTCTTGTAAGCACAATATGAGTTTAAACAGCAGGTGTGAGTAGGAGTAATTTGCTCGTCAGAAATAGTCTGTCAATACATCATTAACTTCAAGAATACTATGTATCTATTCAATAAATTAGCGTCTAAATTCATGTTTTCAGTTCAATTAAACTATATAAAAAACAAAGAAATATTTATATAATTGCGACGAAATTTAAAAATTATTTTAATTTGAAAATAAGAAAAAAAAGTAATGACATTTTTTTCTTTTCAGTATCCATTTAGTGCAATAACTGTAAATAATTATTTATATGTACTTGGTACACGTCGTTCGTCATCTGAAGAATATAAATCATGTTATCGTTTTTCAGCACATACATGTGAATGGATTAAATTAGAAAATCTTTTACATGATCGATCACGTTTTGCTGCTGCACATGTCAATTCATATATTTATATGTATGTATAGATTTATGAATTTTATTTATAAGAAAAATATATTGATTATATTTAGTATGGGTGGTTTTGAAGGTTTTAAACGAACGACACGTGTATATGTAAATACAATTGAACGATATTCAATTGAAAATGATCAATGGGAATCATTTTCAACAGAAGGTCCACAACTTTCATCTCTAGCAGCATGTTCATATGGAAATTCAATTTTTCTTGGTGGTGGAAAAAATGGTCAATGGTATGAATATATTATTTTTAAGCTTTTTGTTACACATTAAGACTTTTGACTCAACCATGTCGATAAATTTTCGTTCACATTCTCTTGAAACTTATTTATACATTGCATGAAAGAACACTTTTAATGATTCAATCGCTATTCATTGAAGACTTTTTATTCAATCGGTTATGATTAGTTGTAAAAAAGTTTGTTTTAGTTTGGTTTTCCAATCTTTATTGGTTGAGTTATAAGCATTTTACTCGACACTTGTCTTATGAGTATAAAATCACTGCAAACATCGAGTTGGTTTCGGATCCGATGGGATCTACATCTCGAAGTTTGAGCTATGAGCTTGTCATAAAATAATCCTTCTTTTCAAACAAAGCTTAATATAAGCGCTTCTTTAAAATGAAAATATCTTAGCAAGGATATATTCTTTCTGTCTCAAACATTAGAGTGTCCCTAATAAAGTATCAGACTTATATAACTCAAAAAATGAAGATGGAAAAATCAAATAAAAATAGTCTTTCCTAAAATGCCTATCATGACTAATCAAAGCGTACTAACCTCGATTGAAAAGCGATGTCCTATGACACAATCTTCAATAATCTCATCCAATGCATTAGAAATCTAAGGGGATCACAATGACAAAAAAAAATGACCTTCTCATTTCTCCGAGAGGTTATGTTCGATCACACTGAAAAAACTTTTTATAGGCACACGAAAGGAGGGAAGATACTCTTGACCTACACTTAATATTTAGAAGTTTTTTTTTGTCAATCATTTAATTACAAAAACTTTGATTTTAAGAATACTCATTCGATTAGTAATATATTTTTTTTTCTTCTCTAGGTCAAAAATTGCTGATTTTTATTGTTTTTCAATTGATAAACGTCAATTAGAAAAACGTGCATCAATGCTTAATGCTCGTACAACACATGCATTTCATATATTTGATGAAAAAATTCTTGGTAAATAATTTTAATTATATAATTATTAATAATTTAATAAAATAATTTTATTTTAGCCATAGGAGGTTTTGATGATGATGGAAATGGCATGTTATCAATTGAAAGTTATGATATTCAATGTGATCAATGGACTATATTAACATCAATACCGGGTGCTGTATCAAAAACATGGCCACAATCACTTGGTACAGTTGGTCGATACGTTTATATATCTGTATTTCATACATCGAATTCATTTATTGTTATGCAAGAAGGTTATTTTTTTGATTTGGATACTCAACGATGGGTAAAAGCACCTGTTGTACATGAACGTGCCAGATACTGTCCAACCGTTCAACTTCGTATTCCTAAAACTTTTATTAATTCTGTACAAACAACAACTACGACGACTACAACAACAAATAATTCATCATCATTACCTGCCACAACTAATATCTTACTTTTGAATACTTGATAATTTTGTTTTTCTTTACTTTTGTTTTTTTTGATTTAAAGTTTTAAATTGTAATAATAAAGATGTTCATTTTCTTTTTAGATACATTTATTTTGTTACAATATGTATATTGTTTTTAGTTTCCGTCCTTAAATTTTTCTTCTATTTTATTTCTATCAAATGGATTTTATCAAGATAATGTAATTATTATTATTAAAAAAAAAACACAAAAAGGAAATAATGATTTAATTTATTTAGATAATGGATAATTATACATCATCAGCATCATCATCATCTACTTTTCTTCTTGAGAATACAGATGGTTCAATTTATCCGAGTGATTTGGTTTTAAATCTAATGGAAGATTCATCATCTTCATTGACAAATACAAATGATAATTTATCTCCATCATCATCATTATCATCATCATCATCATTGAATCAATCATTTGATATATCAAAAAATCAAATATCATATCCATGTTGTGTATTTCATTGTAAACCAAATTCACATCCGTTCCAAGAACGTTGCATTCCACTTAATGAACAAATTAAAGTTGGACGTGCTGTTGCTCGACTTAAAGCTCTTCCGAATAATGCCATATTTGATTGTAAAGTTCTTTCACGTCAACATGCTAAAATTTGGTATGAAAATGGAAAAGTATGTTAAAATATAAAAATAACATAATATTATAATTAAAATGAATTATTTTACTTTTCTATTTTTGATAATAAGATTCATTTGTTTGAATAAAATAAATAGCTATCTGAGATGACAGCAAACAAATATCGTATAATCTCTCGATAGTGGAAATTATTCGAACTTTTTATAAGTGTTCATCATAGAACTATATAGCAATGTCCACTATGATGAACATTACTGTATTGTGTTCCTATTGAAAGATAGGTTTTTTTCTTAATGAATGAGTCTAAAATTATATTTTTCTCACAACGCATCGATTCGAATTCCAGTTTTTGACTACAAATTGAGTTTGAAACAATTCGAATCGAATGTATTAATGCATATGCAAAACTACTTCGAATAATATTTTTTTTTTAAATATGACCATCGAGATCGCTTAGGAATGTGCAGTATTTAGATTATTGACTACTGAAGTCATCGACTGACTGCAATTAGTGTACATCAGCATCACGGAATACCAATATTTGCTGAAGCATACCGTTACAAAAAGGAGCATAGTTTGATAGTGTTGATGTTCTAATGCTGTAGCGAACATGGATATTAATGTAATTAGTACTTCAGTAGACCATATGTGGACCACCTACTGTCATTACTTACAGAAATACTACACATTCTTAGAATCGAACGAAATTACTCACGATTATGAAGGTATTCATTATTAAGAAGTTTTTATTTGAAATAATTTATCTGCTGTACAGGATAATTCTTTACAATAATATTTCAATTCAACGTTTTTAATCAAATGTGAATCAACTCGTGTTGACATGAGTTAATGTTAATTATAGCTTTACTTTTTTTTTTCTGGTTCTACATACGAGTAATAGAATATATTTCATTATGAAGAGATTTTACTGTATTTAACAATTGATTCAATTTTGCTTAAGCAATGAATATCTACATAATTTCATAGATATATGAAATAAAGTTCGCTTAAGTAGAAATTCCATATTTGAAGTATGTGAATCTATATGAGATGATTTGATGGCAAACAACACAAAATCTTGAATTTTATTATTATTATCCATTTGAAACTTTTGATTTCATAGATGAAAACTATTATTTTGAAATATCATAAAAGCTTGCACTTTCGAAATGATAAGTTTTTCTATCTTTTTTTGTTTTTAAAATCAAATGAAAATTTTAATTAATAAAATTATATACATTCGTCTTAATATCATTCTAGTTTTTATTACAAGATACAAAAAGTTCAAATGGTACATTTGTTAATAGTCAACGATTAGGTAAATGTAATGAAGAAAGTCCACCGTTTGAAATTTTTTCGGGTGATATTATTCAATTCGGTGTTGATGTTACTGAAAATAATCGAAAAAGTAATATATCACATATTTAAAAAAATTATTCTAATCAAAATTTTCATTTTTTTTTCTCTCTATTCATTAGCTACTCATAGTTGTATTATTTTGGAAGTTAAACTCTTTCATGCAGATGGTAACGAAGGCTTCACTCGAAAGTAATTTATATTATTAATAAATAAACATAAAATATTATTTTTTTTATTTAGTATTAATGGTCAATCTTTATTACAAATGAAAGAACTGGATATAAATACTCAAACTTTATATCAATTATCACAATATATTCAAGTAAATAACAAAAAAGAAGTTTTAAACACAAATCTTTTAGAATTAAAATATCAAAGTTATTATAATTAATAGAAAGACTTGTTTAACAAATCATTTTACATCAAGAGTTTATATACTCGATACTAATTTATACAATTAAAATAAGAGAACATAATACTTGGTTGTGAATATAGATGAAATAATCAATACTTGAATTATTAGTAATAAATTGTAAAATAGTCAATTTATTGTATATAATTGATAGCAAACAAGTGCGATTTATATCAAAGAAAAAATACAAATTCTATCATTAAAAAAAAAAAAAGAACTATAATTCGGTATAAGTAAATAAATAAACAAACACAGAATAAATAAGTAGAAGCCTAAAAGAATATGTTAATAGAAATTCAAAGAACGAATGAAAAAAAGCTTGTTAGCACACTTTCTTTAGAGCTGAAATATAGAACTAACATGTCTTATTGAACTTCATTATGCAAAATTCAAAACACACAATGTGTAAAAAAACCGTAAAAGACTTTAGTTCTATTCCAACAATAAAGTATTGTCAGTAAACGTTCTGTTTTTTTTTCTTTTCTTTTCATAGTTTATTATTATGAGTCTTACCATCGAAAGCTGTATTGCTTGTATGACAGTTGTGACAAATCAAAATATCATCCTTGATATCTTGAATATAATCGTTTATCTGTGCAAAAATTAGAAACTACGTTATTTAGAATATTGAAATATTTCCAATGAATAGCTATAACATATATGGTTCTTAAAAAAAAGCTAATCTATTACATCTTAATTTTTCCCAAACATGAACCATTCTGTATTTTGATATACTAAATATCGAATAACCTTATCCTGTCCTTGTCTTAAGGTTATAGATGATTTTGCTTGTCTCTTATTTATATTTCACAGGTAATTTTCTCTATTGATATGAAGCTCGAGATATTTTCCAAATCTTTTTTTTTTTATCTTGAACCATTCTTTCATATTTATATTTGACCATATCAATTCCTCTATTTGTCCTTCTATTGAATTGATTAAACATAAATTTTATTTAGTAATTATTTGAAATTTATTAACAAACCTAATTAGCGAAAGTCTTATCGGCAAAAGTTCGAAATCGTATGCTTTCAACAGTTGAACCTGATTAAAAGAAAATTTTTAAATTCGAATTCAATCGAGTTTGTGAGAAGAGTAGAAAGTTCGGAAACCTACGGCTATACTTCGATACTTCTGTTCATTTATGTTGAACCAAATTATATACTAAAATAAATTCCTTTATTGAATTTTAGGAAGCTATGTATCGTGAACAAACACTTGAACAAAAACTTGAATCTCTTCAAGGTGTTTTACGTGATCTACAACAAGTATCAAATGATAGTTGGCAAGCAATTATTCGTGAAGATCGTCTTCTAGCACGTATTAATGCACTTGAAGATCAAATTCGTATTTATCGTACTAAAGTATAAATGTATTTTCAAATAATGTAAAAAAAAGAAAATAACATTTGATTTTATTAGCATTCAAATGAAGATACTATAAAACAAGAGTTAATTCAATTAACTGAATCAAATATAAAATTTGAAGAAGCATCAAAAGTAGGAAAAATATGACTTTTAGAATTTTTTTAATATTTAATTATTTACTTTTCTTTATTAAAGATAAAATTAGAAAAAGCTTTACTTGAACGTACTGATGCAATAAATTGTAGTAAAGCTACGAAATGTTCATTACAATCAATACAAGATGAATTAAAATATAATGAAGATCTCAACGAACAACATAAACAGGAGACTCAACAACTTGTACAATCAATTGATGAGCAACGTTCTTTAATTTCTGAATTCGAAATAAAATTACGAGTATTGTTTCATTGTTTTTCTTTTTTTAATTTATCTATATATTATTATATGAACATTATTTATAGGATTCAGAAAAACGACATACAGAACTAGAAAATGAAAAACAACGAATACAAACTAATTTTGATGAATATTATCAACGAACACATCATTTAGAAGAATTACAAAAGAAACCTATTCAGGTTCAAATATTGAGGAAAAAAAAATTATCTTTTTTATTTGTTTTTTAGAATGGACCAATTCACGATCAATGTCAAGAAGAGTCTTTTTCAAAAGGTAAAATTAGAAAATTTTCTATTCTTATGCTTATAGTTATTATTTATAGATGTAGTTATTGACAAGACAAATTCTGTTGAGATTCCAATAATAATTGAAAATGGAGAAATTGAAAAACCTTATCCAATTATGAATCAAAATGATGCAATGATAAATTATAATCATATAGAAGAATATGATAACAATATCAATGGACTTGATTCAACTAATGAATTAATAGTAGCAGAAAAACAAATTGTTTTACTACGTGAAAATTTAAATGAAGCCATGGGTAAATAAAATTAGCATTTGTCTATTTTAAGTCATGAAAATATTTCTTGAAATTTTTTGAATTTATCTTCTCATGATAGAACTTCGACTTCATGTAATGGTTAAGAGTAAGACTCAATGAAACTAAAAACAAAGTTTAAAGGATCAGAGTTAGATCTAGGATTTAGGGAAGTGAGTAAGAGTTCTTGCTTCTAGCCTTCCTCCGTCATGAGTCGCCACTAATAGAAACGTGGATTTGTGGCCAAGTTACAAGAATTTTGGCCCAGGCTTAAATTGCCTTCATTGACCCCTATAAAAAACTTTAGTTTTTTTGAATTAGTCGATAGGACTGAGAAGGACGACACAATTATGGTATGCCCTAAACTCATATTGCTTTTGAATCTGTCCCTGTCTAACTACACCAAGGTACAGAGGTCTTTGTCTCCAGTGTTAGAATTACTTCTTCGATTGAATACGATAAATATGAAAATCAGTCGTATTCACAAATAAAGCTTAGTACCAAAGTACTAGAATTAAATATGTGATTCTCTTTCCTTATACTTCCTTAAATAAAAAGTCATTTCATCGCCTAAGGTCGATATTTGAGTCTCTTGTCTGGTTCTAGTCCCAAAGATAAGTTGAATTACCTTCTGAGGTTGTGAATGAGATGATCTGAAATGGTTTTGAAAATAGTAATAATTAACGATATCCTCCTGAATGAATATCAGCAGACTACACTCATAACAATAAAACTATCCTTTATCATAATTTTCTTTCTGGTCTTCTCAATTCGCTTAATATCGACTCTTAAGTTTTCTTATCATCAATGACTCGTTCTTCTGAATAACTTATGGGAAGCCTTGCCAACGAATATTATTCGAGTCCAATTTTTGCCTTCGTACTGAACTGACTATTTGTTAACATTGGCATTGTTTGAATAAGCACTATATGATCCACAGGAGAACGCGGCCACTTCAGCCACGGATCTGTTTTGCATCGAATCAACTCACCAATGATCTTATAGTAAATAATCGTAATATTGTGAAGTCGACCATGACGGTACCTATCCTAAACTGCGCCATGTTTTCTTTCAACAAAGCAATAGTGGATTTGATAATTCAAAGGATGATCTCTATTAAGCGAGCGATTGTGAAAGGAGATCGATGGCTGCTCTTCCAATACTGTAAAATACTTTTTTTTTTTACTTTACTTTCACCGAACTAGTATTGTATTATCAATTGACTTTTTCTCAACGTACAAATGTCTACGACGATTTTTAGTTTCCATAATACACATATCGATCCCTCCTCGTCTTTTACAAATTTCTGGAAAAAACTCTTTCTAAAGCTTTCAGAAAAATTGTCTAGTCAAGAGCAAGGATAATATCCTGTATAGAAATTTAACCTTGTTTCAAAGATTTTAACTTAATTTTTATTTTCATTTTAAGAACGACTTGTTTCAACTGAAGATTCTTATCGAAGTGAACAAGAACGTTATCGTTCATTGACAACAGAATATGAATCAAAGCATGATGAATTAACTCAATTAAAAACTCGTTTTAATAGAGAAATGAATGATAATAATGAATTAGTTCGACAACAAAAATATGAACTTGATTATTTATCAAAATCAATTTTATCAAAACAGAATAAACATAATCGATTGCTCAGTGTTTATATATGTTTTTTTCTTTGTTGTTATTTGCTAATTTTTTTTCTTTTCTTTTTTCTTCTATCATGGTGACATGTTTTCTATTTTCTTTATTTTCAATTGAAATGTGTCTCTGTTATTTTCAAAAATCATATCTTTTTCTTTTCTATACTAAACAAATAACTACAACACAAAAGAAGCAAACAGAGAAATATATTTATATTGTACATATAAAATTTTTTCTCATTGTTGATAAATCTTTTGTTTTTTTAATGATACGCAGATTTTCTATTCAAAAAGTTGTAACATTTATGATAACTTATTGATATCGATTATGATATTTCAATATGTAAAAATACTTTTAAAGGTAATATAACAATAAATAAAAAGATGACAATTCACTTATACAGAGACATGCATATTGATCTTGTTTGATAAAAGTATTTTTGTCCATTTTCAAGTTATTTTACTCAAGCAAAAGTAAAATTCGGTTACATGAATTTCCGGTCATTGGATCTGAATGTACTTCATTGGTTTCCATAAAGACTTATGCTTATGAATAGTTACTACAAAATTCATAGTGTACTTGATTTCTACTGGAAGAAAGAATATTCTTGCCTCCAGACTACCTGGCGATAAGGAGTACTGCCTAGCGATAGATTCAATGGCCTAATATTTTCCCCACAACTATGACTAGCTGTACCTTTGAACAGAAGGTTGACGTAACGCAAAGTTCTTGAGTCTACACACGAACTAACTACATAGTAGTCACAACGTATTTTGCGTCTTATTGGACGGATGATCCGAGATGAACAACCGTTTGTGACTTGCTCAGAGCAGTCCCATGATTGGTAATATTGAAGTTTGCATATAATACCTTGTATATATGTCTCGAACAATATAATTATTTCGTTATGGCGATTTTCTTCTACTGCCAAACAATGCAATCTCTCACAATGCAATTTGCTCATCAGAACATTAGAATTATAATGTGATCTAATTTCATACTGTTGTGTTCTATCGAATGCATCAATAACTCATAGGAATAAGACTTTTTATAAGGACTAATGAGGTAAATTTGAGTCTGGTTCCGTCCAAAAATTCTGGTTTCCAATAAAATTAAATAGCATTTCATGATTTGGAAATCTAGAAGATAGCAATCAAATCCTAAAAGAAAGATATGATAGACATTCTTAGCAACATTACTCATTGATAGTAGATCGTATATTAATAACGGCATATTATAATATGTGAACTACTTCCTTATGGCATATCTTGGGAATTAAGTAAACAGATGACGAAGAAATGTACTCCGAAATAGATAAGATAAAACAATCTTTCTGTGATTAGCAACAACAACTACATCGTGTTTCACATTTAAATCTCATAGGAATTGCGCTAACAGATTTTTTTTTTCTTGTTCAATTCGTAAATCATTTTTTCAGCTTTTATTATTTATTCAATGATACTTACTGGAATTGTTCCGTTTTTTCCTTATACAAAAAAATATATCAAAGCTGCAAATAAAACATTTCCCGATGCGATCACTAATTTATTCATTTGAATTCATCATTTATAATTGAATACAATAGAAAACATCTAACATCATTTGTATATCATATAAACATTTCTAGATTCATTCTAAAATACATGCATATTCAATATTCATCAAAACAATTTATTCTGAAATCAAATGGTCGTTAACGATTAAAAACTGTTCATCCATTGATGAGATCGATTTGAAAGAAGAAAAAAAAAAGAAAATCGGTTAGCCTCCTTCCTCTACCTCAATTTCACCAAGTTCTATATAATCATTCAAAATAAAATGTCAATACATCGTTATTTAACGCATTCAAACAATCCATCGATCAAACTCTAATTCATTTGCCTTCTAACTAAGATCGATGTGTCACTTTCATTCGACATATAGAATAATTTATTTTATGCATATAAAATCAAAAACTATTGCTAAATTTAATCTTTTTGTTTTTTGTTGTCTTTTTTTCATACAGGACTAGCTTTATACAATTCCCATAAATCATTCATTAAATCATTCATTGTAACAAGATCAATATTCATATCAAATAATCTCATAATAACAATTCCATCACAACGTAAATAATCTCGACTAAAACTTTTTGTTATTGGTTGATAATCAAATACACGTACGTGTTCATTTTCTTGATAATTATCATTAATACGAAATTTTGATGACATAGGACGTAAACGACGAATACGTGTATCAATAACATTTCGATGCAATAAAATAAATAATATCCATTGTATTAATAAATTATATAATGTACATATTAAAAGTAAGATTAACCATAAATAAGCAAATATAAATATTTTTTCATTAAATACATTTATGGGTAAAACACATTGAACTGTATGACGATGTTTATTTTTTCCAAGAAAACGAACAATAAAATCACATAAAACATTTGTTGGAAATTGTAATGATACATGACGTACAGTACTACTATAAATCATTAAACGTTGAAATAATGAATGAAATGTTAATTCAAAATTCATTAAATAATGTAAACTTATTAATTGAATAAGAATATTCATTATATAAATAACTTTTATAAATAAATAAAGAAATGTTAATTTTGGTATTAATGTTCGACGACGCATTCGAAAATATTGATCAAGACGAGTAGCTACATTTCGTATTAATTGTCGACGATACATTGGTGGTTCGGCTATTGAACGACGACTCATATTTAATTGATCTAAATGTTTTTGTAATGGAATACCAAGACGAGATGAACCACTTCGCCAAAAAAATCCCGGCAAAAAGAATCCACATGCTTGTAACATTAATATAAATGGAACATATTGATAAAATCGAATAGCATTTGTACCTTGTCGAGCTTCAACATTGTCTGGTTCAGGAATTTCAGCATCAATCGAAACAAAATATGTATCAGATATCCAACAAATAAAATCAGCATATGTTATATGAGCATCAGTAAATGATGCTGGAGCAAAACATGAGATTGGTTTACCAACAAATTGTACAGAAGAAACAATAATGACAAAAACAGAAAATATAAGAACAGAATAAAAACGAGATAGACGATCGACAAAATCATCATCATTTCGATCAAAACCACAATAATGTCGAAGAATAGTATAGACGTCAAACCTATATTTACAGAATAAAAAACATAGAATCTATCCAAATAAAACTAGAAGTATTTAAAATATGTGTCAATTACTCGCTCTAAAGTATGTATCGTTAGAAAATATAAACAAAGAAGACACTGATATTCTCTAAGTTCAATAATTTTTTTTAGATAGATTTCTACATACTGTCTAAAATGTTGTTGAACATACCAATTGGTTCTATTTGCCCAAGAAGTAAATGTTGAAATTTTTCGAAACATATACTACTTGCTGAAAACTATTCGATAGTTAACTAACTGTTAATTCTAATTTGTTTTCTAGATCTTTCTCTTAGAATAACTTCTTTGCAGAGACAAATATTTATTTTTACTCTATTATAGAAGAATTCTACCTGTGGATAAATGATCATTTTTCTTTTTCTTTCATCTATTCTTATTTTTTTTGGATTACAATTTAATAAATTTTTTTATATTATTAGAATTTTTGATAGACAAATAGTTACATTTGGGTGTGAAGAAAAAATACAAATTTTGGTCATTATTTTATTGTCATAACTTTCAGATCGTTAGAATGTTTGCCTTTGTAAAAACTCTAATATTATATTTTCCATTTTTTTTTCTCTATCTATTGTCATTATGACTTAGCTACACATACAAAATATATTGTAATGGAAGGATCATCCAATTTGATGAAAATGTAATTATTGAATGCTGAAGTGTTTCTTCTTATTGACAAGTTTTTCTTATAAGTAAGAATGATAAATAATTTAATCTTCAAACGTCATCGTTTTATTAGTCTATCAAATATTATTTCATAGTTTTACATCTTTTGATTCTAAATTAGAATTGGATTTCTGTTCATATAAGAGGAAAAATATGAATGCATTTCGGCTCTTTTGATTTTTGAAGGTCATAACTAATTGAGCTTTAGATAGAATAAAAATTTATGAACTTCTGATATTAAACTCGACATATTTTGAAGTAATTATAAAATTATGAATAGAGTCAGTCTTTATCAAATACAGAAAAGAAAACTATGTTCAATAGTCCTTAGTTCATACCTAAGTTTTCATAAGATAATCATTCATTTAAAAGAGAATATTTTGAATTTACTAAAATATATACGAATCTTCTATTACTTACATTTTGAGTCTGAAATATCTATTAGCATTCCATCGATTATTGATTTTTTTATATTAATGAAAGTTTCTTCACACTTTGTTTACTTCGTATTTGAAATCAATACAAAAAAAAAGTTGAGTCGATTTATATATGTTTCAAAATTTTTTCTGCGATTTTTCTTCTCTAAGCAAATTTTCACCTCTGGACCACCTCAGGCATGTGTGAAAAAAAGAAATTTAATCAAGAAATAATTGTGGCAGTGAACAGTGAAACTATTTGATTAGAACAGGAAAGTTACAGAAAATTTTTTGAAACATACACAAGTCAACTCAAGTTTTTGTGTTGATTCCAAATACGAGACTTATTAGGAGTAGAATCGGTCGATTTGATCCCAATTTCGACAATTTTGGATTTGACGAGCTCTAGTTGAAAACGTGGAAAATTGGACCTAAACTATAGTGAACTAAGGATTTTGTCCAAGAGTCCCATTTTTTTTTTACATCAAACAAAGTAATTTTTTATAGCACTTGAAAAGTTCTATCGGAGAAAGAAGTGGCGAGAAACTTTTATTAACACGATAATTAAATCTTTAATTAGCAACTATACAATCTCGAATTTAAATAAAGCTACATATTTTCATGAGATGTCATAATGTAAAAAAAATTTTACCTGAAAGAGGAACGTTGAAGATATCTAGTCATGTTGTTCAAAGAATGATAAAGATAGATAAAAATACATACACTTGTCTTATCCTTTTTCGCACACTCAATTATTCTAGACACATTCTTTTTCTCTTTCATTTATTTTGAAAGTACTCTGGAGATTTTACTAATGTGTAATTTCTTTTTTTTTTTCCTTATTCTTTTCTTTCTCTTTCTCTTTTCTTACATACATTCGTTCAATGAAGTGCATAGTCAAATCGAACTTTTTATACATTCATGAACGATGAAGAACAATTAAATGAACTCGTTCTACTCTCTTTCTCTTCATAGTCTCAAACGTTTTTGTCGTTCTCAGATGTAGCAAAAAAAGAAAACTTCTCATCTCATCATCTTCTCAAACACATAAATTGACTTAACGAATGTATACGATTTGCTTATAGAATGATAATGTTTCAACAGTCTACATATGAACTATCATGGGAATTTTTAAGATATAAGAAATGCGTGAACTATATCTACGGTTGTTTAATTCTAATAATCATCTGTCAATAAACTTAAATTAAATGAAAGGAGATCTATATCATAATAGAAACTTATTTTATATTATGATCAACTGTATTTTGAAGAATATAGTAAGAAAATACATTTCTGCGTAATTATAAACAACTATTGAATCGTTTTTTTTTTTTACTTTAAAAATATTTACTATACTATGTCTTACTTACATTGTTTAAGAATACAGCATCAAATACATCTATCGTTTTGTAAAATGGAATCAATTGTATATGTATGTCATGGTATATATATTGTTTGTCTTTCGTTATATTGAAAGCTAATGTATCATTTATAATGGATCATCATCATTGTGCATGGAGAGTTTAATCAAAGAGAAACATTTTTGTCATGCATTAAAACGGAAAACATACACACTTGAGAATAGATCGATGACATCTACACATATATATTTTTTCCACTGCTTCTTTTTTTTCTCTATTTCTCAGTATGTCATCAATTCAATTGTCACATATAGAAAGATCAAATAGAATTAAACCGAAACTAACTACTAATTCGACACCTTCTCATTCAAAAAGAAATATTCTTACACATTAGCAATAGATTCATATATATATATATATGAGTCTTGTCCCATTACTTTGAAATACTCTTGAGCAAGTCGTTCATTGAATGATTATCATTTTTTTGTATTGCTTTTCTTATAATAATCAATGCATTTATAGTGCTAAATCGTTCATGTAGTAGAAATAGAAAATATGATGTAAGACCATGTGAATAGGTTTTTTTTCTTCTGCAGAGAACAACTATAAAAGTTAAACTTTAAATAATCTGTATATATTAACTTGATATAGATTAGTTGCCACGAGCACGATATTTTGTTATACTTGTCATCAAATGTTGAGATGTTGTTTGATCGTACTGTTTCCTAATAAAGAAACACTAAAATTGTACAATTGAAAATAATGATGGAAGAAAAGATTTTCATATTTCTTCATCGAGTGTTAAATAATTTAAGTATAAGAATACTTTTTATTTGTTGAAACATGTTCCACTTGTCAATATTAAGAAAGCTTAGATATATTCAACTGCTTTTTTTTAAAGTTCTCTGAACTGAATATCAATCTTGCTTTTTTTTTGTTACACATGATGAAAGTTATTCCGTGGAAGCTTAGTATTCTAGGCAAAGTCAAATTTTTGAATTGTGATATGCAACTTCGTTAAGATGAAGACGTGAATAAGATTATTATTTCAAATTCTTGCGTTATCTGTTGCAAGAACCTTTATTTTGAAGAATGATATCTTGACGATTTAATGCATAAAAATTCTGAATTTTCTTCTGCATATTAGTTTAATTAGAACTTTCATTAAGGCAAAGTTTCATGTCGTAATTCAAAAAATTATCTTTGATGGGAACCTTCGTGTGTGGGTGTCAATGTTGAACGAAAGCAATCAGTTACATCAATCAAGTCAAACAATATGAGACAACATTCAAAAAGATTGATATTTATGTTGAAGAGATCGAAGAATAAATTAATCATCATGATCATGATGATTGTAGAATTTACACTAGAGATGATATTGATGATTAATAACTTATGTTTAAATAAACATTTGCAAATTCGTTTCGGTTGACCGATTTGGACTCAAGGTTTTGTACGATAAAAACACTAAAAAAAGCAATCAATGTTAACGTGGACTTTCTGAAGATATTAAATTATTATCATGAAAATGAATTCAGTGTATGGTTTTTGATGACGGTCTTTTTTTTTTTAATAGAAAAACAGCTTTCGAAGGTTAATAAATCATCTCACAAAGTCGAAGGCGATTAAAAACTTATAGAAGATAATATTTGTTAGTTGTTGAAATTTTTTCAAACTTTGATGAGTACCCTTGAATAAAATCTTTATATCTTTTGAATGCAAGCAGTAATCGATCTCAGTCTTGCGTAGATTGATAGGAGAGCAGTTAGACTATTTGCTTATTATATTCAATATGATAAAACATATTGTTTTCAAAATTCGTGATTCATTCAAAGAAAAAAATGACTGAATTTTTTGATTAATTTTGTAAAAAAGATAGTACAAACAATTTGAATGACTTCTCTCTTGTTGTTTTAAAGCTATTTAAAAAATTTCCACAACCATTTAATTCTGAAATAAAAATTAGTACATAAGAAAAAAATTTCAGTTTGATCGAGCACACCATGCCGAAGAAACAGGTGTTGCTGCAGTTTTTTCATGAAAAACTTCTTTTTCGGAAACCACAAAATAATGTATAGTTTTCGCTATTTTCATTTTGTAAATTTCATTATTCTACTTGATTTGTTTTAACTTTTAAAAACAATGTTTGGATCTCAAAATGTACTCAATAGATAGATGATACTTAAAATTATTAAATAAAGGGCCACAAAAAAAAATTAAATTGAAAAGACAAAAAACTAAGTTATTTTATATAACATTTTAGTTCAATTTATTCCAAATATTACATATTGAGTAGATAAACAGAGGAAACTTTTCTACACCAGTCAATTTAGGCTAAGCTTTCAGAAAATACTTTTTTCAGATTGGTAAGGTTCAGAGAAGGTCTAGATGCAACTTATACAATAAAACTGATATTGGGGATAAAAGAGTGAAGCTGATTTCAAAATTAAATAAGTTCTATATCGACTGCTGCAATAAAACTGGATAAATTCCAGGTACTAGAAAAAACAACATATAATGCAACACGACCTCTATCCTTTTTACAGCATCCATAATTTTACAACGCAAATATTCATACTTTGACAGAGAATGATAGAGAAATAGCTGCCAAATATTGACACTTATGTGCATGAGCGGCGCAAGCTCAAATTTTTAGGGGAAGCAATAAGCTTTAGAATGAGATTGTATCCCGCTCTGAGCCATAAATCAAAACTCAATATAGTAATTTTTTTTCGAAATTACTTTGTTAAAGGCATAGGAACGGACCTCTACGTATCAGTTTGTTTGACAGTACATTCAAGCTTTCCCCTTCGAAAAATGAGTGAACAAAACTCACGTTTTTTTCTTATTGCCTTCCTCTTATCAGCCATTTGATTTTCGAGTTGATACTCATGTGAAAGATTGTCTGCCATTTTAACAGCTATTCTTTTTTTATGAAATGATAAGCGTAAGAATTAATTGAAAATATTACAGTATGCTCATTGAACCTGTTTAACTATTTATGTTAGCAGCTAGTTCATCTTATTAAGAGTATCTTTTTATACAATGATTATGAACGGAAGCAGAAAGAAGTACAAGTTTAAGTTATCTGACAATCAAAGGTTCAAAAAATACGAAGAAATAACATATTGATAAAACATCAGTAATTATGGGAAGCAATTGCTAACTCATTGCTTGCTGGTGCGCCGCCTATGCTTATGTGTTGATGTATAATCATGATAATTCAAGCGGATTCATTTAGAATATTTAATTAGATCAAAGATCACTCGATCGAATAAAAATCTTCATGATTACAAGCACTTGAATAAATGAATAAATGAGAATCATTCAAAAGAATCGATGTTAGTCCTTGAAATGCAAATATACTTGAATATTCATGAATAAAATTAGTATTATAATTTAAAAGAAAAATCCAAAAAACTAAATATTTATGAGATCAATCTATCTTTGATTTCATTGTCAACACTATAAATATGGCATATCTGTCGATTTTCATCGCTTCAACTTCATTCAGTAACAAGCAAAATTATATATTATCTACAAGATGTATGTTTTCATTTGCTTTTTTGAATTTTAAAGATCCTTTGCCACTATTGTTTGTACCGTTGCTATTGGCGTTCATGAAAATTTTCGAAATGAACAGATGTTGAGTTCAATCTAGTCTGAGAAAATTTTTTAGACTTTGATGTAAACTCTTTTCGTCTCACTCTCATACGAAATCAATTTCAGTAAAAAAAAAAGATCAGTATTCATGAAGTATCACTTCATCTTACTATCAAATTGAAAACATATGTGATATTGTTCGAAGTTTCAGATAACAATTGACTTAAAAAAATCTTAAGATTTATTTCAGATATTCTTTTAAAGACTTTAGAAATATGCACATTGCTAATTGAGATGTTGACCTAGCAAGGTGACAATATATTTTGGTCATCATAACAACAGAATATACTTTAGCCAAAATAAAAATCATTCAGCTTTTTGTTATAAATACTATGACAAATTGTACAATCTTTCTAGTTTTTAGGCTTCTCTGCTTTATCAGTATGTATGAAATCTTTATTGTGCTAATCTTTATCGGAGTTCCAAGAGGTTACGATAGTTTAGCCCTACATTCTGCGCACAGTTCAATAGGACAATTCGCGTTTCAGACATCTACCAAGTGCAATAAATTAACAAAGCAAAACAATCGATTTTAGCAGAAAGAGAGGATGTCTGTTCCTTCCGACATATCTTGAACGAATAGACTTATTTGATAGAGGATATCTTTTTTTACACATATCCTTAATTTTCTAGATTTTTCGAACATACTTAACTCGAGTTTTAGTGCTTACAAGATCAAGTTTTTAAATAAACTTTTAGCTTCAGAGATGTACCTAGTGTTTAGAGATTTCGACCATTAAATAAAGATCTAGAAAAACACAGCCTGTTTTGATACTCCAACGACTTTCAGTCGTATTTCTATAGTATCAGTTTAAATCGATTGTTTCCAATTAAAAATCTATTATGAAGGTACATGTTCTTCTTTGATTAAAATCTAAATGCTATTTCGTAATCGAATTGATATTTGATTTGAACTAACTGTTAATTAGAAAAAAACTCAATTTAAAGTTGGTTTTTTGCCAAAAATTTTTACATGGATTGGCTAAGTAGATACAATTCGTTTTAAGTTTATATTTTACAGCAAAACAGAAACAACACAGAACATTTTGTTATCTATGATTTTTTTATGTTTGATAAAGTATGACAAGATTTGTTTTCGATCATGTTTCAGAAATATTAATCAAGCAACAGCCTAAATTACAAGATGTTTAATACGGCCACTTCTTGGATTTTGATATTTCTTCTTATTATCAATTCCATATCTAATGTTCGTGGTATTGATTGGAATGGAAATAACTGGGCTTTCGGTTGCGACTTCAATGGTAATGATTTAAGTAATGTTCAAATCCGTGGTGAAGATTGTGGTGGCTTATGTGATAAAACCCCGGGCTGCAGTCACTTTACTTGGACTACATGGAAAGATGGTACTTGTTGGTTGAAAACAGGTTCTGTTACCCAAGATGATGCGATAGCAACCAATGATCCAAGTATGGTCTGTGGCATAATAAGTACCCAAGGTCCCAGCCCGTCTGGTACTTCAGGAATTACAACTCGTTACTGGGACTGCTGTAAACCAAGTTGTTCTTGGTCGGGCAAAGTATCAGGAAGCAACAGCTATGTCAAGAGTTGCCGAAAAGATGGCTATTCTGTGTTTGATCATTCCAATGCTGTCAGCGGATGTGAGGGAGGTGAAGCCTTTACTTGTAACAATCAAAAACCTTGGGCTATCAACGATCAACTAGCCTACGGATTCGCTGCTGCCAGCATACCAGGATTGAGTGAACAAGACCGTTGCTGTGCTTGTTACAAACTCGAGTTCACTAGTGATCCAGTTAAAGGAAAAACAATGATTGTTCAAGTTACCAACAGTGGTAGTGACGTGAAAGCAAATCAATTCGACTTACAAATTCCTGGTGGAGGTGTCGGCATACACAATGGATGTGATGATCAATGGAATGCACCAGCCAATGGTTGGGGTCAACTATATGGTGGCGTTTCATCTCGTGATGCATGTTTTGGTCTTCCGGCAGCTATTCAAGCTGGATGTTTTTTTCGATTCGACTGGTTTAAAGGAGCTGACAATCCTACCATGATTTATTCTAAAGTGCAATGTCCAGCGGAATTGGTTAACATCAGTGGATGTTCTCGTCGTGACTAACAGATCAATTTTTATCTGTTCCATGTCTTACTTTTTATTCATTCATTCTGTAGTTTCAGTGACTACAGTATTTAAATTTTTTTCCATGAGAGATCTCATCTATGCCGAGTAAATAAATTAAAAGCATAACAATTATAACGCTTGGTATTTATTTTCACCAAACTAGATGAATTCCAAAATGAAATAAGCGTTGTGGTGATTCTAACATCAATGAACAATAATTGACAAAAATGACTGTAGAAAGAGATAGTAAAACGGTTTCACTCAATCATTGGATAGAACTGAGAAACTTCATTCATGTCCGATTGTTAAATTTAATCTGCGAACTTCAGCAATCCGTATGTAACATTTTTCATAATTATTCAAACTACTAACAAGTTTGTGAATACAATTTTAATAAAAGTAATTGGGTGCTGCTCAACGCATAAACTGAAGAGAGAGAGAGAGAGATACTAAGTATCGAATGCGATGTAACTAATCATATATGCCAACTATTTCCAACTTTTCTGCAAAAAGTGTTTTCAAAAAAAAAAAGACAAAAAAAATACATAATTGTCATTTTCGTTATCAAAAATTATTAATAGATTTGAAATTTATGGGATTCCACTATAATCTATCACAAAAAAAACTATTCCGATTGAGATTCAATGTAATATTAATTGGCTATATAATGAAACAGAGTTTGATATAGAGTTTTAGCTTTATTTTATTTTATTTTATTTTATTTTATTTATTTAGCTCCAAAGCTGTTCACTCTGTTGATACTCACATTCTCGTAACAAAACAGAATGAGTACTTCCATCTTCGAAAGTAAAAATAACTTGTTTATTACCATCAAGTGGACCAAAGTTGAACGCATAATAAGGATTAGCACCTCGATGTTCTCCTGATCGATTATCTATGGTAGCTCGACTAAGGATTCGTCCATTGGTGTTCAAAAGTCCAACATTATGGTAATAAGGGTTATTATAATCAGTGCCAGGTTTGTAGTAGCAACGAGGTCCATTGAAATTGAAAGCATTGCGAGAAGTCAACTGAACCGTGCATGAAGTCTCTCCGGGAGGTTTATTGTTAGTAAGTTTGTTCCAAGTCGAAGCATATAGATCAAGTCCACCTCCTAAATTTGAGTTTGTAACGATAATATCCAATGGTCCATTACCACAATTAACTCTGAGAACTTGACCACATAGATCTGGTCGGAATTTGAGATGTTGCAAAGCTTCAATATTTCCTAGAGCTACAGGATGAACAACAGCATAGCTTGATGTTGGAAGTGCACATGCACCAGCTTCATGAGCACCATGCCGTGTTGCAAGAACTCGGTTGAGCAATGGACCTATTAAGCCGTCATTCGAAGTTGGTCCGATACTTGTGTCAGAGTCATGCACTACTCCGCAGACCATTGTTTTGTCGTCTGTTTCCAAAGCTTGATTCTTTGAAATTGGTCCTTTTTTCAACCAACAAGTACCATCTTTCCATGTAGTCCAAGTAAAGTGAGTGCAGCCCGGGGTTTTATCACATAAGCCACCACAATCTTCACCACGGATTTGAACATTACTTAAATCATTACCATTGAAGTCGCAACCGAAAGCCCAGTTATTTCCATTCCAATCAATACCACGAACATTAGATATGGAATTGATAATAAGAAGAAATATCAAAATCCAAGAAGAAGCCGTATTAAACATCTTGTAATTCAGGCTGTTTTCTAGTCAATATTTCTATAGCAAGATTGAAAACAAATATTTCCATACTTTATTACTCATAAGTCACAATGACATGTTCTATGTTGTTTCTGTCTTAGTAATACTTTCTATTTTGCTGTAGAATATCTACTTAAAATGAAGCTAACGTGCGTAATCAACTCACTTTATCTGTGACTTCATTTTCTGCATTAAAACAACAGGAATAAAAATCACTTTGATTGAACTTTTAGCTAGTACTTATTTTGTACTTCGATGTATTCTATTGACTCAATTTCTGATAAACTCAGCAAGTCCAACTTTTCTAGTGTTCTCGTAAAAAATTTCGTTTTAGCTCTTTTTTCTTCAAGCTAATTTCATAAGAGGCTTTTATATTGGTCGGGCATTAAAACAAAAACATTCCTTTTCATTACTTTGTTTGATAACTTATTTTAATAACTTAGCCATATCTTTCAAAATCAATAGTTTTCGAATGAAAACAATGAAAAATCCATATAGAAATATTCTATGAGATAGGACTTTAGTTCATTAATGATAAGAAAAATCGAGTGTTCTCGTTTGTTTCGACATCTACTATAGAATTTTCGAGTTTTTTAGTAGTAACGAGGTCTATCATTTAGTGTCTCAAAGTTATAGTAATATAGTACTCTTTGAATTACATGAGAGTGATCTCTTGACAAAACAAATATAAGGAAAAGGAGAAACTTGTCAAATAGTATCCGTATACAAGCATGTATAGTCTTACAAACTTGCTGGCATCACCAGAACCTGATAAGATCTTGACTTTTACACTCAGATGGAACATGCACGTTCATGTTTGCCCATATTATTTACGAACGAATACGATCGTAATATACAGTCATGTAATACATCAAAATAAGAATGTATACAGTGAAATATGTACTGGATAAGGTCGTTTTCGAATGTATACGAATTTGATATACTTCGTTCTGGGAACTACTTGCATCGAACATCGCTTGGGTTAATGAGTCTTGGATCATTTGCAACGATATCAAAACTATCACAATTCACTGTTTTGTGCCTTCTAATCATACTTATTAGAATTCAATTTTGAAAATATCGATCTAGTCGGTTCAAATTATTGTGTAACTAAAAATGAACCTCACGATTGGAAATGACACAATCCACTGTGATAGTTTTGACCTGTTTTTGAATGATTGAAGCTCCATAAGCTCTAATTAGTGTACTCTGCAAGGTGCTCACCATTATTGAATTCTGGTCATCAAAAGACCTGAAAATAACACGTGAATATACAAGCACCAAGTGATCGCCAAGGATTGGCTTCATTAGTATTTAGTAAGTAATTATCCTTTTTCTTAGAAATGTCACTGAGTAATTAATATCACATAGCCTAATTTATAATTATGTATTAAAATAAACAATGACTTACAGAAAACGATATTTTGAATCCGATCCAGAATTATGATAAAATTCGATACTTGAGTGTTTGATTTATATACACTTCAAAAAAAAAAAACTACATACTGTTTCTGCCTTAACAGTCAATTTTTCTCTTCATACTTCATTGGTCTATGCATGCATAAACATCAAGTGAATATTAATATGTATTTCGTTCTACAAATATTAATATAAACTTGGCGATGAAGTTGTTTGCATACTTTGATCATGCATGTACTTCAACGAAATGGAAGCAACCGTTTTCGATTTGCATAATTTGATTGATCTACACATTTGTGTATATATCGCCGAGCGAATCACAGAGACAGTATGATATAGAAAAAGTTTTTCATTCGTCCCAGCGTCATGATTTAAGTTGAATTGAGATGACAGCGAATTTAGCTGTTGTATTTGTATGGGATAAATTACATAAACCAGGATTTTATTTCATGCAGGATATGGGTGAAGATCGAGAGAAGACCTGCATCTCATTGCATACCCTTAAGTTTTTTTCGTCAATTTTTTCTGGTATTTGTGATACTATCATGTTTCTTAAAAGATAGAGTTTATTATTTTCGAACACTCTCATATGTACAACAATATACAGTTGAAAACACTACGAACGAATATTTGATTAAGCAAAATATAATCGAACATACAAATATAATCATAGGGATCTGATTTCAATCGTAGGCTATTGTATAATGCAATTTGCACAAATTTTGGTTTAAGACGAGTTTACATATTATGCTAGTCACAGAGAAATTCACAAATTTTTAAATTAGGTCGATTTGCTATCCGAATAACTATTAATCAAGATTAGTTACAATTTACTTCATACTTTGAATATATAACTATCAAAATTAAGTAGCAATACGAACGGTATGTCATCAAGAATGAGTCTATTAATAATTGAATCCTTTTTCTTAACTTTTGTCACTTGTTGTATATTGTTTTTAAACAAATCCTATCAATAGAGTTTAACAAGTGCCATGAAAAAAGGCACAGTCAGCAAAAAATGAATTATACTTACTAATAGAGTATGGACGGTGCACCTTTGTACCGTTCATTGATACTACTTTTGTGAATAATGATTATAAATCATAAACTTGATTGTCTTCTAAAGATTTAACGAGTTCATGCTAATTTTTTCAATCATATATTTTTTTTGAAAATTTAATTATTACTTGTATTCCAATGTAAACTGCAAAAAGGATTCTTGAACATGAAGTTTCAAAATATTTGTATTGATATATCGTTGGAAATTCGATATTTCGAGATATTTACTATAGTATAGTTCATACTCCTTGTGTATAATATTACACATCAATTCAAAAAAAGGAAAACTTATTTAGTTATTTGTACGAAGCAGCAAGAAAGCAACAATAGTGCATGTATTGCTCACGAATTGAAAACAAAAACGATCCCTCCTCCCCGAATTTCAACCATCTGAAATCTAATTTTATATTTTATTTTTGATAAATTTTTCTCGGGACTGTTTGAATCGTTATAAAATGAAAAGTAGTCAATTATAAAAAATATTATGTTGGCAAAATGTTGGATTCTCACATTCAAATTTGTTGAACACATTCTATCAGAAAAATATTTACCATTATAATAGCATCGTATGAACAATAGAATGTTATGAAAAACTAATTAATCATATTGAAAATGGTGATTTTATTGATCATCTTAGATGATCGATAGACGATTAGAAGATAGTTAATCTGTATTTTTTGTCATGAGTGAAAACAATTTCTTGACGGAAAACAATAAATTTTTGAATACCATGTAAGTTCACGTAGAACAATAATTTGATTTATTCTTGGTGAACCTAATGGCCCATACAGTGATCATACAAGTACACTTTGTCAGTGAGAAGGGTCATATTATCTTGTAAAAGAAAAGAATCTTGGGTGTATGCTTGCTAGATTCTTGTTTTTCTTGATCGATCAGTCAAAATTCTTTCCTTTTTCTTGAAAAAGAGTCTCTTATCAGACTTGTAAGACAAATTTCACATAATTTCTGTCTACATATAGATAAAAGCAAACATCTCTGTATTATTTAATCATTACTACATGATGATAGTCAATTGGGATTGTAGTCAATTTAATGAACAAAGGATATTTGATTTAGATAATATATGAGTCAGATGTCAATATTGAGTAAGTGCAAATATTGAATAGAGAAAGTATGTGTTGATCTATTAGTGAGTCATATCATAATTGATTATAGAACGTTTCCAGAAACATAATTTTCAACATAGAGCACATCGACCAACAGATTTATTATTATCAATGACAGATGCTGAATAAGAAGAGAACGATTATTTTAAGTAATGGATATTTTTCTTCTCTATTTCGTGTTTTTATATTTCAAATGAGATCACATGCACTATCATGTACTTCTTTTGTGTATTCTATCAAAAGCTTGAAGTGAAAACAGACCAACAAGGAAAAATCATAGCATTGTTGATGTATAGCAGAGATTAAATTTAATTCATATGAGTCTTAGAAAAAATAATCAAAGAACAAATTCAATAATATCAAAATCTTTTTAGAACTGTGCTAAACACTTAAGTTTAAATTTAGTTATTGAACCATGATGTTTAATAATCTATTATTGATTTTCACTTGGATATATTTTGATATGTATACAAATTTTAAGCATATCTATATTTTAGTTATCATTTTTGATCGTTTTCGAGTTCGAATCTATTTCATGTAAGTGTGGTTTCGAAAATATAGGCGTCGGATCTTAAATTATTCATTGCTTAGTTTACTATTATCAATAGACTTTATTCATTCTATTTGATGAAGTTTTATGTTTTTTGTTTTTCTTAGATTACTATGGCAGAATTTTTCACGAAACAGTGGTATGAATTTAAGACAACAACTACAAACTATAAGAAACTAATACAGATAAAGATTTTGATCTTGGCACTGCAACATGGATAACAAAAAGTATACTTTGACATACAATATATATACTACCAGAAACAATATATTATGATTATCGTTATGGAAAGTTTTCCTCAAGGCATATATTAGTATACTTTGTTAAATGTCTTGAGGATTCCATATACAATGAGCGATATTTCCAATTTGTTTGTTGATCACGAACATATATTAAGAATAGTCGTATAATACCCTATTTATTGTTAAGGACAGTCTTGTCTCTTGTATCTATTGTTCTCAAATGTCTTGTTAGCATATGCTAAGGAGATAATTGTGAAAGACAAATGAAAGACAATAGTCCGCTGATTAGCAACAAATAAGCAAATAAATGGCTAATCTTGATATATATTCGTCGCCAACAAGCTGATAAAGAATATCGCTCATTAACTAGTTTTTTCTTTCTTGATTATATTTCTTTCATTTTATTATACTAGTTATTATGTTAAAGCATTGAACAAAATGTTTAATGATTGAGAAATACTTTGAATAACTACGATTATGGCAGATAACTATGTGAAGTTTTATTGTTAAACATTTAGGTTCACAGCAGTATTAGTATGCAGTTCAATGTAATTTGCCAATTAATATGTTTAACGACAAAATTCTTCTTATTATATGAATTCAGTTCATTGTTTTAAAAATATTGAACACTTTTTTAGACTGTTTTTTTGGGCGAACTCATATTGAAAGGCACATCAATTATGGTGCTTTATTAGGATAGATAATTGAATATTTGTATCAGAAATACAAATTATGTGCATGAATACCAATGACCTTTCTGTGTTTGCTATCAATTTTTAATGTTTCTTCTTATTCATTTACGTCATTAAAATCATTAGAACAAGAAAGTTGTGTAAAAAATACTTTTGATATGCAAAATCTTTCAAACACTATTCTCTGTTTTATTTGTCTTTAAACACTTCAATAGAATGATATTATAAAGAAAGACAACAAACTCATGCTGCTAATTTCGTCAATGAGTACAGAGACATAGATTTATGATTGGTATTTCAATCAGACTTCTGTTATACTAATCAAGCTATACGATACAATCAATATTACATGATTTCTAATAACAAAATAATCATTAGTTACACATAGAAATAGATATGATGGTCTCAATTTCGGTTTCTCCGGGACCAAAAATGACTAGTTCGACTGATATTTAGTTAGACAGCTTGTTTTTGACTTGTTTGGAATATGAAATGTCGCTCAAGGAGGAAAGTTATCAACTGATGAATCGCTAACATAATATCGTCGGAAAGATTTTCACATGGAAATGTTGATGTGTATCTGTTGTATGTCTTAAAATGGCTATACATTCTGCAAAAAGAAATCAGATATGGAATAGAACATTTCTGTTTTCTCGGCAATTCAATATGTCATATAATCTACACATAGCAAAAACAGTTTTTTATGTACAGTTTGTTAGTCTAGAAAACCAGCATATAAAGATCCAAAAGGAATTTCTCATCATCGTATTTGTGATTTGTATAATCGATCACTTATAATCCACACGATTTCGATGAGAAGCCGATTAATTAGTTGAAAAACATTCCCTCGTTAATATCAAACACTATCAGTTAGAAAATTTTCTTTCTTCATCAAAACTTATAATTCAATAGATAATATGTGATTTCTTTCGTTTTCTTTTTTTTTTATACATGATTAGAAATTATGAACGAAAATAACAAGAAAAAAAAATACATATTGAATATTTCATCTTATTGATAAATATTAAAAATCATTATCTATTCAAAATATTTTCTTTTCTCTCAGTATCCATTGGAATATCTGTTTTAGTAATTAATGCTTGTTTTGCATCTTCATCATGTTCTTTTGGTGTTCGATAGTTATTTTCATTAATCTCCGTATACAAATCAATTGTATGTGGAATATGTGTTAATGATGATAATGGAGTTTTTTTGTCATAACATCCTGGATCATATAATGGCTCATCACTTGTTGGGGGATGACTTGATATATATTTTAATATACTTAAACGACGTGCATTATAATCCATATGTGATAAATTTGATGCAGAACGAGATGGAATCGATACAATTGAACCATCTTTTTTGGCACGATCAAAAGCTTCTTTACGTTTTAAAGCTTTTTCACGACGTAATTGTTCTTTATAATATTCAGCAAAATTATTAACAATAATTGGGATTGGTAAAGCAATAACAAGTACTCCACAAACACAACATACGGCACCAATTAATTTACCCCATACAGATTTTGGATAGATATCACCATAACCAACGGTAGTCATTGTCTTTAAAATGATTTTAAAAAAAAACAATATAGGATAAATTTTAGTTTTTTTTTAAATATTTTATTTAATAAACTTACAATACTCGCCCACCAAAATGCATGTGGTATAGAACGAAATTGTATAGCATTACCATCTCTTTCAGCAAAATAAGCTAAACTTGAAAATAATAATATAAATATAGCCAAAAACATTAAAAGCATAGATAATTCTTTATAGCTTCTTCGTAATGTATAACCTAATGATTGAAGACCAGTTGAATGACGTGCTAATTTAAGTATACGCATTATACGTAAAACACGAAATACTTGTACAGCTTTACGAACAGATTTAAAATTTTTTAAATTACCCGTATCTAATGTTTCAAGTATAATTGATATATAAAATGGTACAATAGCAATAAGATCAATTGTATTTAAAACACCTTTAAAAAATTTGCATTTATCTGGTGTAGAAAATACACGAACAATATATTCAATTGTAAACCATGATATACATATTGTTTCAATAATAAATAAAAATAATGGTTCACGACAATCACTAGCACTTTCATGATGTTCTGCAGCTAAATCACGTGCTGCAGATTGAGCAGCCATACGTACAGCATCAACATCAGCTGATGTTGGAGTATCAATTATACTTTCAGAATCCGATATATTTGGTGCACAACCTACGCCTACAAAAAAATTTTTCTAATTAAAAAAAAAAAACTGATATTAAAAAGAAATTCTTCATGTACCTTCAATAGTACTTAATGTCAACGTGAATGAAGAAAGAAGAATAAAAGAAATGCTGACAAATGCAATAATCTAAATTTGATCGTGAAATAAACATAGAATATATATATATATATATATAGATGGAAAAGATAAACGTACTCGTGCACCTTTTGATGTATGTGGATGTTCGACAAGATCCCAAATTTTTCGTCTTAAATTTCCACAACAACGTTCACCAATAATAGTTTCTTCTTTTTCAACTTTTAATAATTCAGCTTCTTTTCTTATTTCTTCTAAAACATGATCTTTTTTTTGATGATATTTATTTTGACAACATAATTCTAAATAATATTCATCAATACCCCAGTAAATTAAATCATCATGAAATGATATAACACATAAATCATCTACTAAATGTAATTTTCCTGTACGATAAAAATTAATTATTGATGAAAATGTACGTGGATGACGATCAAAAAAATATTCTCCTTTTGATAAGTCATAATCATCACATAAGCGCATTATTTCATCATGTGGCATTAGGCGGGTTGTTGACAATGTTGTTTGACGTAATTTTGCCAAACGACCTAGACGTGTATTGGGTAGACGATAAAGTGTACGCCATAAAACTATATATATATGTATATATATAGAAATATATATTTAGAAATTTAGAAAGATCGATTTAAGAAATTTCTTTTTTAAATTCGAAAAGAAAAATATAAAAAAATTACCTTCATGTCTAACACCACCAACATTTAAAATAACTTTACGATCAGTATTAATATTAGACGGACATACATTTACTGAACAATCAGGAAGTGATTGGTGTAAACATTCACTAATTTTCGGTGTGTCTGTAGGAGATGTTGTGACAGATGTACTTACAGGTTCTTCACTGATTTCCAATTCATCATTTTCAATAAAAGCAGTAGCAGCAGCAGGATTAGTTACCGGTATAGTAGTATTATCGAACCATTGATTTGCTTTAGAAAGTTGAGATATATCATCTGAATGGCATACGTGTGAATCTTTTGTTGGCATCGTAGCCATGGGTACATCACGATTAGACGATGATATTTTTTTTGGAAGATAAAAATGATTTATTCTTTTATGATTAGCTAATATAGGACAGGAATCACCTCGATGTGATTTAGATAATTTACTGTTTGTTATTGTTTTTGTTGTTGTTAGATGAATTGAAGGGCAAGAAGATGATGAAGATGATAATGGAGAATAGAAATAATCTTGATCGGACAATTGAGAAAAATGCGATTGACTATTTGATAATAACTGATCATTTGATGGCCCATTGGTAAAAAGCGTCGAGTTATTTGATAAAGAAACGGTATGTAGTTGATTTTCAATGTCTCGAGAATTACAGACTGTAGTTGTATGAGATGACGACGACTCGTTGCCTACTGATGACGATACCGATTGCGAGAAAAGAGGCGGAGAATGAGTAAACAACATTATCCAACAGAAATCGACTTGGGCGACAAAGAAACGACAAAATAGGATTGTTATTTGCCACGAGAAACGCTGCTATTCCATACAAATATACATACATATATAGAGTATATAAAAAAAAGAAATATGTCCGTAAGTCAAGAACACGTCATCATGGAATGGAAGAACGAAACGATAAAAAATGATTTGCACCGTTATTGATGATCTTGTCAAAAATCATCGTGGTTATCCCCCGAAGAGTTTGAGAAGATGTGTGTTACTAGTAATGTGCTCGATTACTTTGATTAGCCTCGACCAAACAGATCAGACACGGGTGCATACCAATAGGAATAGACAGGGTACATCAAATAACGATATTTCTTCGTTAATATGTATGTCACGTCTATATCTCTGGAGGTCATCATCCACTTTTTAACTGTGTCCAGTGTATCAACTAAATGAGTCTTTTTTGTATTACATTTTGTTCTTAATGATATCGATTCTTATTCTTGTTTTTTTTTATAATCACCTGTTTATCTTAATAGAAAATTTATCTACAAGTCTAACCATTTGTAGACATAAATGACTTTTTTTATTCTTCGTATATCCTTCTATGTATATGTGCCTTAAATTCTTTGCCGTTGACTATTCTTGTTCGACAACAACAAAAGCAATCAAATAACACAGCTGGTTTTTTTTGTTGACTGACAAACAAATGTTTCCTCCACGTTTATTAATCAATGTAGCTAATGGATGTGTCCTTAAAGCAACTTACTCGTTATACTAATAATGGTTAGATTATCTGTTGTCCTTTCTTCGTTTTTTTTTGTGTTATTTTGTTTATTTATTTGCTTTTCTTTTTTGCAGGATCATATAAAAACAAAAACTAAAGCTAAGAGACTCTATTTCTCATAATAATGATACGATGGATGTGTAAATGAGGTCGTGTGATGTCGAATGTCTAGGATTGATGTTGACGGTTTGTTTCTTTTCTATAGAAGACAAAAGAGACAACAAATGAGAGCTCGTGAAATCTGATAAATGAATGAATGCCATGATTATTTTTCTTCCCATCGTCATCTCATTTGTGCAACTTAAAAATTAAACATATCAACTACTGCCTAATGATAATAATCATAATAATAATATTATAAAAGTGTAAAATTGCCTGTCATATAAATGAGAATTTGAAAGAAGGAAAAAAAGTTTTTTTTTTTGTTTTTTTTTTTTTTTTTTGAAACTTACATCTTAGTGACAAGTAGGTTAATGGAATGGGTTGATGATCGGTTCTCTTACCAATTCTTGTCTTATAAAATGCTCTTTGGCGTTTTCTAATAAGCTATAAGCAGAATCTTTCTTTTCTTTTCTTTTTCTTTCTTCTTAGAAGAAAACAATATATAGATACATCTATGTGATGTAAAATCTTATTGACAAATGAAATTTCATTATAAGCTCTCTTTATGGATCAATGGAATGAGCTTTATAAACCATCTGTGTTCTGTTGAAGACCAACGAAAAGTGATACATATTACAATCATATAATAGTAAAAAAAAAAAGGTCACGTTCTGTATGTTATTTTAGCTTCTATAAATAAAATACTTCTGTCGGAGATAAGTGTTGTTCACTCAAGCATTATCATTTGTCTTTTCACATTTAATGAGAAATACAATATATATAACAAAAAAAAAAGAAAAAATGAATTCTAAATGACGAGAACTACACATTTTCTTTTTCTAATCAACCGGAATGTTTTCTTTACGATAAATTTACGTTCTTTTCTTTTGATGAATCAATAAGGCGGAAAATGAAAGGTCTTTTTCTTCTTTCCATAAAGAGTCTTCGGAAAACAGATACAATGAGTAGAAATAATAATCTACTCTATAAGCAATGTAGTTCCAACAATATGAAAAAAAGAAAATTATTTTCTTGTCAAATAACAAACTGAAATATATAAAATTATAATTATTCTTGTCATAAAGAAAATATGATTAGATTAACTCTCATGAGAGAATCTCTCCAAATGGCAAATCGATTTTCGACTAAAACTATGTTCACTTGATGAGCACTAGAAAGTAATAGAAAAGTCTAAAACTATCTGCTTTTTCCAGGCCTTCATTGTTAAGATATCGAAATTCTAATGGATTTTTCCACACAATACTATGATCAAGTGAATAATCGACTTTTCAAATTCAAATTTAGTTAGTAAGATTAACTCATTGAGCAAGTTGTCTTATCTTCTAGTAAGATAAAGAATATTCGTAATGCTCTTATGTGTAAAAGCTAATTTTGGTTGTATACTTACATCTCCAGAAAGGACATATTGGTTGCACATTCAATTAATCGTATTAAAAACTTCGTTGGTGGAAAATTTAAAATTGAAATTCAATTTTTTTTTTCTCGTGACCATAGTTTCTTGTTGAAAAATTTAACACAGCTTCGATATCTTGAAAATGAAAGCTCAGAAAATCAATTCTCGATTATTTTCTAGCATTCATTAGACGAATAGTGTCTCAATCGAAAAGCAGTTTGACATCTGAAGAAGTGTCCTCATCAGTTAGAATATCGATTAATGGATAATAATGATTTCGTTAGAAAGGAAAAATGAATTGTTTATTTACTGATCATATCATATTCTACTCGATTAATATAAACCAAATTATATATAACAAAATAAATATTATGAAAGGCTATATATAATTTGATTAAATGAGATGATTTTTTCTTTTAGCGCCGTTTGTTTTCGTTTTGTTGTAACTACTGAATTAGTTAATTCTTGATTTATCATTTGATTCATTTCTTCGATTTTGTTATTTTCTTTTATCGAACGATAATCATGACCGAAACATTTCGACAATATATTAAAATTCGTACATTTTTGGGTTATCGACCAAAAGAAATTCTACTTGAATTACAAAATGCATTTGGTATATGAAAAGATTTTCATTATGAAAATAGATTGTTTTCTTTTTGACAATTCTTATTTATATAGGCGATGAAGCACCTACCTATGCAAATGTACAACGATGGTCAAAACGATTTCGTGATGCTATTGATAGTCCATTAGGAAGTCCACTTGGTTCACAATTAAATTTTGAAACACAAAATTATCAAATTAATCATCAATTGGATGGAAATAATATAAATGAAGATAATAATAATAATAATAATAATCAAATACAAAAACAAATTAATGCAAATGCAAAAAAATCTGAATCATCACATAGCACAGTAAAAAAAAATAAGCAGACAATCATTTTTATTACATGTCTTTTTATCATTATTCTTCATTTTAGAATGGAACAAATAAATCCAAACGATCATTTGCAATTCGTTCCAAGCCACAACGTTTTATTAATGAATGAGGACAAATGATCAGTTTCTCGTGATACCGAGTGTCATTGTTGTTGTCGTTGTTCAATACTTTTTTTTTCTATCTAAATTTATTATATGTGCTCGGATAACTATGAAACTAAATTATTGAACAATGAGAAATTATTGCACAGATAAATGAGAATATGATTCACAAGGCCTTCGTCAGAATCATCATTCGATTAAGTGCATAAGATTTCTTTTTAATAAATGAAAAGAAATCCTAATGATAAATCTGATTAAGATATATCGATAGAATGCTTCACGCTGTATGTTAATCTAACTAATATTGTCGCCAGACTTTAACCCTTTACTCCCCATAGCGGTTCGAGAAGAGCTACTGATAAAATAAATTTATAAATAGAGTATTAGCCTGTCGAATATGCTAATGGTATGATCTAATCCACCGAATGTTCTGTTTCTGGAGTAGGGCGATTTGATTGATATAAAAAACATGTGGTGAAATATGAGAACTGAACGGCATCATAAAATAAGACTTAATTTTTTTTTCTTTGATCACATTATTGACTGAGCAGAAGCAGCATCTATCTGGTACTGTTGAAGTGATAGGAAAAACGTAACGAGTGAACCGATAAAAATTAACATAAAAGAATGTATACTTTTTTACATCTATTGTCAAATTTAAGCCTATTTTACTCTGAGCCATTTTGTAATGTCTGGAGGAATTTAATTCATCATAAATACTATTTCGATTTCTGATGAGTTGAGATCTATACCGCATATATTAACTTTGCTCTTGATTACCCTCCATATGTCTAACAGTGACTACATGGTCAATTGTATTTCTTAGTATGCATAATTCGCGGAATTATCATGAAGCTGTCGAAACATCGAATTCAGCAGTGGACTTCTTCATCGATTAATATCACACAGAAATTCCAAAAGACCTCTATCGACTGCAAGTGGAAAACATTTTGTTTAAAAAATTTCGACTTTTTACATTCTTTTCAAAATTATTGATTTTGTAAGTCATATGTCTTAAAGGCAGAGCGACGAAACAAAATATTTTTTTTACCAATCGATAGCTTGTGAAGTTTCTTACAAATAATGTCTTGGGAGTTTTTCAGTCTCATGCTTCCTTTATTTTCTGTGATTTATCCCCCAATGGGTCATATATGACCCATTGGAGGATAAAGGGTTAAGATAATAACTTATTTCTTATTCATTAGGATAATAAGTTCGATCGTTTCTGTAAAGAATAGCTTGAATTAATAATCTTTGAAATTATGTTTTTATTATTATATATGGATTATGATGAAAATATTTCATTGAATAATTGTATAATTTTACTGCACTGTTCTTCAACATTTTTGAATGATTTTTAGTATTGAAAATCATTCCATTTCTCATTGTAATTCACTTAGAAAAAGAATAAAATTCATTGATGAATTATTAATAGTTATCTGCACTGTGATCACACTTGTATCTTGTTATGAAAAACTGTTGTGAAACTCTAATAACTATGCAATATAAAAAGTAGTAAAGTTAGTTGATGTGGATAATCACATTGATATTTTGATATTTTTATTCTTTTTCTTTGTATGAACAAATATGAGTCGAAAATTTGATACTTAATCGGTCGACAATCTTTCGATCAGTATTCGATCAGCAACATACTGTCGGTATATCGACG